TTTGTCTTTGTGCATTTCATGCATTTTTAATTGTACACACTTCTGCTTGTCCTCAGCTTAGTGCTTTCATGAAGAAAGCATGGCATTTGCTTAATTTGAAGCCATCCACTTCTTCACAAGAAAAACCCCATTTTGTAACAGACTTTCTGTAAGTTGGGTGCTGGTTGTACCACAGAACAATATTTGAATACGTTATTTACATTTTCTCAGGGTAGCTAGAGGGAGTTTGGTTTTAATTAGCTGAGTAAGAGAGCCATGAGTGATTACACAGACACAAACAGAGCAGCTACCATCATCTCCCAGCTCCTTACCCTGGCTCCTATGCCAACATAGCTAAAAACAAGAAAAATAATACAGTCCCTTGGAGGCAGTCATTTTGTGAAAGAGGGGATGGGGAGATGGATAGAGATGTTACAGGGTTGTTGTGCCTGGAGTCCTCAATAGTTTTTCCATAGCTGATTCACTGCCTGAACCAGAAACAGAGTCTCCTCTAGCCCCGGTAGGAGTGAAGGCAGTGTGAACCCTCTTGCCCCAGGCAGTACTCTGGGGGACAGAGGGCAGTTGGGGAGGTTCTTGCTTGGTGACACTGAAAACGGTTTCAATGAGCAGTAGGCTCTTTCCTTCCCCATCTCGCTGTAAAACCCTGCTTCCTTTTCTTCACAGCCCTCATGCTCAGCACAGCACCTCAGTCACTCAGAATGCCCCTGCTTATGAAACTTGATGGGAGGGAGGTCCAAGGGGATGAGAGCATCCCAGGAAGCTCTTTGAGGAGGAGCCTCACGCAGTGGCTCAGCCTGGGGCTTCACCAAGAACAGGGCCAGCTATGGTGGTGGAGTGGGACAAGGCATCAGGCTTGCAATGCTTGGGAAAACTTGCAAGACTCCCTGCATCAGTTTTGGATGAAAACATTCCTACTCTCTAAAAAACATGCAGGAGCTGGTCCTGTTATAACGTCACAGGAAAGCTTCCTTCAGCTGCAGGCCAAGCACAGATAAGAGATTGACGCATGCAAGCTCCAGCTGGAGAAGTGCTTCGAGTACATATGGCCCACAGTGAGCTCTTGGGAAGAAAAGGGGCATTGTTCCTTGCACTACTTTGCACTGTTTGTTCCTGATCTAAAAGAAAACAGGGTCTCAGATTTGCTCAGAAACATGCTCTGGGCTTCTGAGCTGTATGGGCTCTACCCAGGGTTTCCTTCAGTTAGTGCTAAGGCCAAACATACTTTTCACAACTCTATCTAGAGTCAATACTGCAGAAGCCTTCATCACTGCCAATCTCTTGCCTGTCAGATACGGCATCTTATCACTGCTCTTATAGGCTATGGCTACCTAAGAGATGAACACAAGGCTTTTGAATACCTTCATTGGTGTGAACCTGGTCCTGCATAGAAATGAGCACGCTGTTCTCAAAATGCCGAGCTCATCTAGACACAAACCCCTATGCATGAGAGTGGGACTGACTCACTACATCATGTACTGAAAGCAACAACAACAGACAGTTTGCTGTTTTCCCCAAAGAGAAGTGCTCCTCCTGAGGGCATAAACTAACAGGCCAGCAGACAGCAGTGCTCAGGTATGCCTTTCTAAGCTCATTGCTGTTAGGAACTTCCACTGACTTCAGCAAGGCCCACGTGCAACAGCCATGGTGGATCACTTTTGTATTTGCACCTCCTATGACACATGTTTCAATCAAAGACTGGAGAGTTCACAGCACCTCCGTGCTGATCATTCCTTATTTCTCAGCACTGTGCTGACACAAATGATGAAGCCTGGAACCCATCACAGCTACCCACACTACCCCTGCTGAGTACAAATTCATGCTGACATCTGAAATTCTCTTGTAATAAAGTCTGCTCAGAGGACAAATGCAATAGCTTCTCTGGTTCGCAGGTTATTTCTAGTTCTTTTGCGTTCCCGTTACCACAAATGGAAATCTTTTCTGCAGCTTTAAGAAGATGAAAGCTGGTGGAGCCCGTGGGTGTTTTACTTCAGTTCCCAGTTTTGCTAAAAGTAATTTTTACATAGGGGAGGAAAAATGTCCTGTGCACCACACCCACTTTCAGCCAGCTTCCTGCTATTTATACAGTCAGGAACCACGGACCATCTGCAAGAGGTTCAGATCTCAGACAAGCCAATAGTGACACAATTCCAGGCTGGTGGCTTCAGCTACATGGTCTGATTTAAGCACATCCTATTTATCTCACTGGGTAATGACAGTTGAAAAGCTGCATGGGTGTGAGCGGGTAAACTTAGTTCAGGTGAAAGCATCAATCAGAAGAAACAGACTAAGGAGTCGATGCAAGAGATCTCAGCTATCTGAAGTATAGGAGCATGGTGTCCAATAGTATTCTCAGGTGTCTCCCTCTTTGAGCCAGAGTACAAGAAGCTTAAGCTTGCAGGCACTCCCATCACCATCACCCAAGCATAACTGCTGCTTCTTGGCATGGACATCTTGTCAGGGTCTTGTAGACCCTGCTCCTGGGGTTCTAGGAGAGATGTGGAGTCAGGATGGAAAGTCAGGGGGACTTGCTCTTGCAACCATCTGTTATTCATTCCTCCATTTTGGTAGACAAGCACATGCCCACATGCCAAAGATCCACAGGTTTTATAAACGCCTTTAATCCGGACTTAACCGCAGATGAGAACCCCAGGGTACTTCTGTCACAACAGCACAGAGAAGCTGCTCCCAGTCACACACCAGTTCAACCCGAAGGCCGAACAGCTGCTTCGCTTGGCAAGGCAAAGGCAGGCCAAGGAGAAGACCCAGCACTCTATTGCAGCTCCCTGCCTGCAGAATGGGACACACCATAGCATTTTGATTAAGGGTCTCAGTAGAAGACAAAGAGACCTAGACACTAAGCCCACATTTTCCTGGCCTCTATCCTGTGCCTCTCTAAGGTGAACATGGAATTTTTCTTCATGTCTAAATTATTAATATATCATAGTGAAAACCAAACCAAACAAAAAACACCATCAGACCAAAAACCTCAGTTCATCCGCCTTACACTTCTTTGTCCTTAAGTTCTTATTTTTTGATGTGTAAAGAACATGCTAATATGTCACTCGGATCTTTTTGAAGAAATGAACTCAGTATGGAAGGACAGTGCTGGAGGGGATACTCATAAAGATTAATGTTAGCTTTACCTATGCAAAGTGCCCCTGCTGGACTTTTCCAGGCTTAATTAAAAGCAGCCAAGTGAGGTTTCCCTTCACAGGGACAACTGGAGGAGCTTATCTCTTCCCTCTGGCTGCAGAGGCAGTGCAAGGAAAATGGCTTCCCTGGGCTAACAGCAGCCTTTGTGGAACCCTCTTGTTGAGAGCAGGACAATGTAAGGATTGCAGAGCGTTCTTGGGGTGCCCCTTGCATTCTCCATGCCTGTCTCTCGCTAGGATAAAAGAAGCCCCATGGTAGCATTAGAGCTCCTCAAGCACTAAACCTACTGCACAGTTCTGCCAACTGCTCTTTGCAAAACAGAACTCACTTCTTTACCCCGTTCACTTGTGCAGCATGTAGCCCAACTGCAGAGCTTGGCTACTCCTGCTCCTCATACAAGCCAAGCAGACTTGCCCAAGACTTGGATAGCCACAGAAATAGGAAAAACAGTATCTTATGGATTATTTCATTACTAACGCCATTTGCTCTAATATACGTGAACCTCTTGGACATAAACCACAATTTTAGATTTATGGATCCCATTGAACCAATTACTGAGTGAAAACAAGGTTGTCACTCTTGTTACACAGCAACAAGTGCCTTTGCAGCAGTGTTTCTTGAAAACTGTGTTGTAGGTAAGCTCTGGTGGGTGGGTTTGCTCCCCCCCCCACTCTGCTTTGAGAAAGATAAGCTTGGTCAAATGAGTAAATAATTTGTTTGGTCACATCTGACAGAGTTCTTTCAGAAGAGCTCTGCAAGGTCTGTGGAGAATACAGATGGGCCCATTACAGCGTCAGCCCTTCCTGCAGAACTGTGAAGTGCCTGTGTACACTGTCAGTAATGAAGTCCTCCTTGATGGCAGTGACAGGAGTTCAGACTTTGAGCTGATAGGGTGACAGAGAGGGAAGTGACTTTGCTCTTTACTTGAGCACAGTTCATTTCAAGAAGCCTACCTGAAACGCTGACAAGGAACAGATCAGTGAGCTGTTCTGACTCTTACCCATGTGTGTTTTCTCAGACAGTTTTATTCTACTTACCTTTGCAGAAAACACTGCAGTGTTCCCAGACTATACCACAGGCAGTGCAGTGAGGAGGAATTTATTTGCATTTCCTCATCAGGACAAGTTCACTCCTGCTGTACATCAAATATTTACAGTCTTTAGGAAGCCAGACCCTTCTATCTCAGATTTACACACATCAGTCTAAAGCATTCAGTAAGGAAGTGTTTTTTAAGTATGATCACTCCTACTGACATTTGACAAAAAAACAGATCTATGGATCTTACCTATATGGGATCCTATATTTTTGGTGCTACACTGCTGATAAGCAGTGGTATCCTCAAATGATGTTTTAGACGATGTCTACATACATGCAGTGAGATTTGCAGTCCTCTCCTGAGACTGCCTGCATTTTCCAAACCAAGAGAAAACCCCATAGAACCATAATCATAGGATCATAGAATGACTTAGGTTGGAGGGGCCTTAACAATTACCTCCCTGCTGTGGGCAGGGCTGCCACTCAGAAGATGAGGAATTGGGAAGCACAGGGAAGGGGCATTTCTGAAAATCCAGTCCAACTTGGAAAAGCCTTCACCTACTAAGCAGGGCATTTCATTATCAATCTATTGCAGCTTCCTTGTTGCCAGCACCCACCTGCCTCTCCTCTCTCACCCTCTCTCATCGCGGTGTGTGCTAACAGACAGAAGGGAGGGCAGGAATTGCATTCCAGCTCTCTGATCCCATGTTTGAGTATGAGAGCAACCCAGGTGCAGGGGAAAGGCTCACATCAGCTCTCCGGCTTGCAACTCGACTCTAGGTTCTTCTGCAAGGAGAAAGCGACACCAACCATTATTCTCACAGTTTTATTTGTAAAGGACATAGCATGAAAAGCTGTATTTCAATGTACTTCAAAACCTGAAAAACCCATGTCAGTTTGTGATATGTATGTTAAAGTGCTTGATAGAACAATACTTCTACTAATGTTGTCTTGAAAATAATCCAGTTCTTATTCAGTTAGTAGTAATGTAAAGACAAAATATACTTAATGGAGACACCGAAGGGTCATTTGAAGCCATACAGGGCACATCTGTACATCTCAAGTGTAACACACAATATTTCCCCGTAAGATGCACACCTTCATTTGATTGAAAGAAGGAATTGTCTCAAATATGCCTTTGCACAACTATTCTAAAAAGACAGCTTTGAACAGTGATTCCTAATTACACATGCCAACTCAGAATAAACATGAGCAGATTTGTCACTAGACAGCAGAACCGCATTCGCTTCAGAGAATTATAAATACAGGTTTTGTACACAGTGAGGCATTGGATTCTCTGACTCTTCCCAGTCACCATGCCAGATGTGAGGATAACAGGACTACGCAAACTCAGACATCTGCAAACAGGTATTAGGTAGAAATTGTTTTTTAAAAGCAGATACCACAGAGCTTTGGTCTTTTCCCAGATTCCCTTTCTCAACCAATGAAGGTGCTTTAACACTGAAGTAAGAACTGCGTTAGCTTAGAAGGATCCTGATAGGTTTCTCACTCTAGTGGGCAGAATGATTTCTGTAAACCTTACAGAGAAAACCTCACAGTTTCCAACAAACAAGGTAGCCTACAAAAAAAAAACAAAAACATCATACATGACAGAATAAAAACTCCCTATGAAGAATCGTACTCCCAAGGTTGTCAAATGTCCCATCTCCTGAGAAGCAGGGACACTCTGCCGCACCCCTCAGCAGATCTTAGGGTGCTTTATTGCCTACGAAGAACTGTTAGACAGACATCACTTTTATCATATTATTAATCTGATGTGAAACTTGACATAAAACAAGTCAACGCTCGCTAAAAAAGATGATGTGAAACCATGTTCAAGATAAGTGCTAAAGGTTCCTTAATGTAGTTTGAAATAGGGAAAGTCCCTGTTTTGAATTTTCAAATGTCTCAGGTTTTGACTCATTTTAACTTAAGAAATACCTCATCTTACTGCCCTTTTTGGAGCGTACATTCACCCATTCCTGACCTTTAGAGGTGCCTGTGTTTCTACTTTATCCTGCTCGCACGTAACCCACGTCATGTTGGGCAAATGTCATGACTGCTTAAGTCATAAATAAATACTAATCTGAGAGCCACACAGCAGTGTACTTTTGAGAAGTATCCAGCTAGAAAATGCAGATGCTGTTGCAAAGAAATCCAAGCACTAAAGAAGTTGTTATTTCAGTTAAATGAAAGCCACTTAGGCTGGGCTGCACATGAAAAAGTCATATATAGCAGTCATTAGACATAAAATGCCTGAGCTGTATAAGAAATCAAAACATTGCCTAAGCAATCATTACCAAATAATTCTGCCACGCAGCTTCCGGTGCTAAACGTATCATTTACTGGTAGGGGAACACATTTTCAATTGCTGCTGTAAAGTTGTCACGTATCTTCTGTGGACTTTAAGCAGACTTGTCTGGCCGCTCAGAAAACCCTCACACCCTGAATTTCACCCTCCTGGAAACGTAAGAGAGATGTCACAGAGTTGACTCTGGCTGCCAACTCACACCACCGCTCACAGCCTTAACATTAGTTGCTCACCATGCACAGGAGGAAGGAACAGTAATTAGAAGCTGGAACTCCCGTTACAGTCAATGACTTCCTGACTTTTTACTTCCTTAAAAACCAAAACCAAAACCAGCCAATAACATAAAACTCTCCCTTCTATTGAAATGGAGTCACATGAAGAGTTTCCTTCTGGCCAGGAATGTGATGCAAACCTTCAACACCAAGAATGCTGCTCGAAGAACTGAGCAGTCAAAGGACCACAGGAAAGGAGAGCAGCTTGACAAGAGGCAGGTGAGAGAGCAAACCCTACTTTTCATCTTCTTTCCCTTTTCTTAGCTCTCTGCCCTTGCTCCACCATGTGTGCACCGTGCTGAGATGTGATGCTGCCCATCATTCCAAAGCCCCTCCTAATGCTGCTGGCAAGCACAGCCAGCAGCAGACAATTACAATACCACTCAGGGCTTCCCCAAGCCACAGCTTACGGCTCCAGCTGTGAGACATCCAGGAAATCCTCTGACAAAACGGCCAAGATCAAAGCGAGTAAACAAGTTCCAGCAGACACCTATATTTAAACTAACCTGCACAACTGGAACTAGATGAAGTTAACGGTGCCCTCAGACTCTTACAACTCCCAAACCACAAACAAGGAAAATACACTTTGTGTTTGCTGCATGGCATCTGATAATTTTAAATGCAATCCGTTGCTAAATTTTTAGCTTTGCAGACTTCAGTTGCTCCTCGTTCCTCTTCAGGACCATAGCTATACAAACACACTGTGTTACTAACACGTTAACTGGAAAGAATGTAGGAGATGCTCAAAACACCAGCATTTTTCTCCTTTCACATCATTCCCTTTTTTTTTTTTGTACCTGGATAATTAAACAAACAAACAAAACCACCAAAATAATTAAAGGTCCTGTACTTCTAGGAACACTTGTCCTGTGGGATAAAGGAAGACTAGTAACCTGTCAGCATTTCAAGACCAGCTCAGTATCACAGCAACATTGGTGTCTGCAGCAATGATTCTCTCAAGTACAGCAAGAATTTGGCAGGAGCCAAATTCCTCTAGATGAGAGGGAGAAAGAAAAAAAAAAGCCATCCACAACACAAGCTGGCTGGGGGTAATGGGGAACCACCAGAACATACAGAGAGACAAGGAGCAACAGCAAGCAAGCCAACAAGCCATCGTTTCCCTTCTCCAGTACCACTTTATCAGGTCTCAGGCTCCAAGGCTCAGCACCTCACATCTCCAGTGTTTAAGCATTTCAGCTCCTGTGTCCTCTTCTGGAGATCAACAGAAGTGACACAAAAGACCTTTACAGAAAAAAAAAAGAAAAAAAAAAGACAATTCACAACTTCTGTGCACTGAAAGGGCTGGGTCTCTGAACAAACAAAAAAATAAAGGGAGACCATGTACAGCAGGATAAACAACATACACTAACATTTCCAAGAGTGAGACAATCACAATGGCTACATAAGGATATTTGCTGTATTCATTTGCAATACCTGAAAAAAGCCCTGCTGAGTTTGCGCCGTATTTACACGTTGATTGGCTTCTTCCTTGCAAGCAAGTAGCAGCATCCCTTCCCACCGCAATCCTTCCCTCCCCAGCCCCTCCCCTGGGTTTAAGCTACTCACAGTCAGAACAAGAACATTCAGTCTAAGAAAACTTTCTTAGAGTAATATAATTTCTTAAAGAAGATAGCATATTTACACACATCTAAACACATGAAAATACTCTATTTTATACTAAATTTCTGTTTCAAATAAACTACAATACTGCATCTTAGCTTTCCTCAGCCTTAGAGGACAGTCCCGACGGAGCACAAACTGGGCTTCCTGCTCCCATGGGAGCCAGCAGCGGTGCCTTGCAGCGATGCGCTGCCGTCGCGTTCAAGTCCCGACAGGTCTCCCAGTTGTGGTTTGCTTGCTTGGGAAAGGAATAATGAAGTTCTCAGCAAAGCCATGCTAAACATCCACTCCTTTAATGAGCGATCCCTCTAGGACGATGTTGAAGTCTTGCAATGTCTGCAGGACTCGGATCAGGGAGTTGACAGTCATGCGGTCCCGTAGCAGGGCGTTCTCCTCGTACATCCTTGTAATGAGTGGGCATTCTGCAAGTAAGGGGATCCACTGGGGCAGCAAGTGGTCCCTGCCAAGGGAGGAAAGGAGTGACTGCAGCACGATATACAACGCATCTCAAACTGATGTGCTTCTCCAAGAACAGCGCCTACAACACTCAGTCTCTGTCTGAGGGCAGTGCACACTGGACATAAAAGCTTCCTGCTTAATCAGAACCCACAGTTTTGTTAATAAAACAGAAGTGATTGCCTGTAAAGTAGGAATGAAAGTGGAAAGGCACAAGCAAAACTGGACAATTGACTATGAAAGAATTCAGCAATATTTTCCAATCAGGAACAGGATAAGCAAATCTTGGGAAAAAACCCAAATTTTTGATGATGCTTTTTCAGCTGTTTTGCAGATTATCCAGGTACTTATTTCTAGATATACCAGCTCCCCAGTAACATACAGCTGAGTCTCTCTCCTCCCCACAAGAGCAAAACAGGAAGCATCCTATGTGGGAGGAAAGATAAACCTAGAATAGTTTGTCAGAATTATAACACACATCCCATTTTCACGGGCAGTCATTCAGTGAAGATTTAGAAATGCACCAATTCTTGTAAAGAAACTCAGCTTTCCCAAAATCTGCACTTCACCAAAAGTACAGCTTCAAGACAGATTTCATGCATACAACTGCCAAGTGAACAGGTATATTAAAAGCTAAAAACATTCTCAGAGGTTTAGATAGCAGCTGTATATTGTTACTGCTTCTTTGCCACAATTTTTTGTCTACTATTAAAGCTGTCTAAAAATAGGTACTGGTAATAGAAGGTACAAGATCCCTTAAAATGGAAAAACAGAGGTGGTAATAACAGTAAAATGTCTAGCACAAGAGGACATGCATAAGGAAGAGCAGATAAGTACCTTGTCCCCAGGCAAACCAGAATTTGGAATTTGCCATCCTTTCCAATGTTCCTTGGAGCTGTATTGATGGCATTCACATAATGGCAGAAGGTTTTGCATGACGATCTCTGAAGCAAAAGGGCCTCCTCGTTGTCTCCAATCTGGTCACTGGTTTCAAAATAGGCAACAGCTTTCTCTGTGGTAGGGAAAAAAATGAGAACTCGGTGAGAAGTACTGAAGTAGTTCAGTACAACCAAGATTTACCCTACCCTTACCCAAGGGAGCCCTTGAACAGCCTGCCAAGAGCGACTGCACAGTTTATGTATAGATTCCTCACCCTGAAAACAGGAGGTGGGTGGTGATCTCCACCTCTGCTACATGGCTGCGGTCAGCACATTCACTGACGTACGACACGTGTAACATCAAGGAGCTGCACTAGTGTCTATGGTTTCATTGTGATACCATCAGCTTTGAATTTTCACTTTCTCTGAGTAAGCGCTTACCCTCAGGCTAAGAATCTCAACCTGTCAGCATATTTTAAGGGAATAAGCATGACTTAAATTACTGTAACACAGGCCTACAGATAGATATCACCAGAAGACCAGAACAGCGCTTAGCTCTGAAACAGTTAGAAATCTAAACTTTTCACTCCCTGAGCTTTCCCAGCTCTTCTTCCAATATCGATTGCTGTTCTACTCCAACCTCCAAGCCACTCCAGCCCACTTCCTTTTCTGGGCAGGGAAACAGTTGTTTGAACATTCACCTATGAATATGTGACTAGAACCTGAAGTGCTCTTAAATTTCTGCAGAGATTCACACTTACTCTTTATGTAAAATTCTGTATTTCTCATCTACTCTGTTTCTTATTCCTTTCAAACAATCTGGATTTTGCTAGGCAGGAATAAACGGCATCAGAATCCCAAGTCTGTACATAAGTAGCCATTTTCCCTAATCTTCATCTCCTTCTACCTCCAAATCACACACCAGCTTACCTATGAAATCCCAGATGAAGACATTCTTATGAAAAATACGAGCTGATTTGAATCCGTGGTGGAAGACCTGCTCCAGTGCTGCAACCAAGCCATTCTCCCCACACAACAGGATGGTAAGGCTCCCTCTCTGCGGGAAAGGGAGAGTGTGAGAACACCTTGTCCTGTTCATATGCCAAAAGGCTTAAAATCTAAAGGTTAACAATCTCTACTAGCCAATTTCTATTTACAACTGTATTGACAACCTGCTGTAGACGACAGGTAATGACTAGCAGAAGTACCTCTTTCTCTGGCTTGTGAAAATGTTTCACAATGTTGTTCACAGCTTCTCCAATTCCCTCTTGGATCTGTCCTGCGTTTGGCTCTGTGAAACCATGGAAAAGACACTAGATGAAGATGTCAACTTTAAAACATTTATCAAATTCTCATGATGACATAGCTTGAACTACAGGAGTTATTCTGTATCTTCAACAGGAAAGAATTCAGGCAGTCATTTGTCTTGAATAAACTCAAGTCATAATTATAAGCAACTAAGGAGCAATCCCGGAATAGTAAAATAAATTGCCATACTTAAAAATGCACAACCCGAGGGTCTGACTTGATAAATGTTTTATTTGAGCTAATCACACCTTGTTCATCGCAGACTGCAGCAATCCTCTGATGAAGAGACATGGGCTGGAAGGTTGCAGGCAAGACGTTTGACTTGCTTCTCTGCAACTCATGCCAGAAAACCCTGCACCTATGAATTCCTGATTTGAATCCATGATGAGCCACAAAAAGTAACTGCTTTAGATACGTGACTAGTCATTGTACCAGTGTGAGGAAGTAGAGCCAAGAGGATACTCCTTTGTGATACTTCCAAGAGAAAGTTATCTTCAGTATTAAAATGTACACCCCATTCCTGCTCTGAATTGTTATGCTGTGTGTTTCTGCAACTGAGTGACTCCATGCTTCTACCTGTTACCATTTCATCTTCTGCAAGTACCTCCAAAATTTATCTAGTTGCTCACACACACAGCATCATAGAGTTTGAAAGAGATTTGGAGTTCATCTAGTCCAACTCCCTGCTAAAGCAGGTCCTGCAGAGTAGGCTGCATAGGAATGTGCAAGCAAACAACCTGCTATGATATGAGTACTTGGTATGAAAAGCAAACCTGATGTCAAGACTGACACCAATTTGTACTGCATCCAAACTAGAACAAACAAAAAGTGTCCCTAAGTTTCAGAAAGTGTATACAAGATAGATTATTGTAGAGAGAGCTAGCATGCAATTTTTATTTTCCCAGCTCTATCAGCATCACAAAGGAAAGCCACTGAATGATGAAGAGTAATGCAGGCCCAGGTGGTGCCCAAATACATGCATTTGAGCACCAGCAGAGACCAGTGTGGACTTGTACCTAGATTCTAATCAAGCACACCTATGAGATTCAGACCACTGAGTGGGGACTTAATTGGGTTGTGCTGTGGGGCTACTGACAGTAGATCTTAGTGCCCATCTGTAGAGTCAGTAAGCATGCAACTGTTAGGCTTAGTAAGATTATCACGGTGGAAAGATAAATAAAACAAATGAAAGTGCTCACCAGTGTTATAGATGTGCAATAAACTCCACAAGGAGCAAACTCCAGAAAGACATCCTCCCTCAGTGGCAGTCAGCCCTTAAATGGGCTCTAGGAGAGGTGGAGCCAGGCTCCACCCCTTCTTGGTAACACAGGTGAATTGCCTTCTCCGGTGCTCCCACAGCTGACTCATTGCTCGCCTCAGGTGGTCAATCAGAGGTTCAGAACGGAATCAGCATTTCCCTAGCCCTGCCTAGCTCAGGCAACTGAGGCATGCAGGGTACACTTGCAGTAGTGGATGTAAGGGGGTTGGGAACACAGCCCCAGGGTGGCTGGCAGGATTTGCTGCTGAGGGATTTGGGCATTGCTGCTGCCCACCTTAGGGACAGCATTGATGATGTCACCTACATGACCTGCTTCCACTAGCCTTCTTATGGCTGTGCCTTCCAATAGGTAAAAAAGCAGCTGAGCTGTGCCATAGGCCAAAATAATGAGTGAGATCAGATGACGATTACCTTGTCTGCAGAACATTCGGATAACAGCCTGCAGGATGAGCAGGGGCCTGCAGAGCTGGTGCTCATTGCTCCAGAGCACAGCTTCCCAGCTGAGGTTTGGGCTGCCTTTTTCCGAGAACACCCAGAAGACCCTGACTTTCTGCTCCAGTGGCTCCAAGAAGAGATCATAAGGATTCTGACAATGAGAGCTGGGAGGTGCTTGAGGGAACAGTGCACCATTGAGGGCTTCCTGTGGATGTTAGGGTTCAACCAGGCAGCCTTACTGTGGGGGCTGCAGCTGTTCATCAAAGAGCTGACAGTGCCCTTTGTGAGGGGCTCTTCACTACCATCACAGCCCTGTATGGCCTCAGAGCTCTGCCAGCAGCAGGACCACCAGGATACCCATGCTGCAGGAGGACAGCCATAGACCCCAGCCCCATCGCCTCTCATCAGAGGCCTCCTGGGCTGCTCTGCCAGCCCTGCATGCCCCAGTGCTGAGTAGCTCCCTAGTGTTCTCTGTGGGGGTCCTAGACCTTAATCATTTCAATGATTATTCTATGATTTCTTTCCAGATTTTCACGTCACAACATCACTACCATTGTTACTTTGGAAGCATGGAATAATTCAGTATTATTTTGCCTGCTCTAGCTGTGGTGTCCCAATTCCTTGCAGGAGTATTGGACTAGATGGCCTTCAGAGGTACCTTCCAACGCTAAGGATTCTAAGATTATATGATTTTAGCATGCGATGTCCCTGGTAGGTCTGAAAAAGTTATCTCCTGCAGCTCAAAACAAAAACAAATTATTGGGCCTTAGTGCCCCCAGACCTAAGTAAATACTCTGCAAGGAGCTCTGATGCCTACTCCTTCATGCACGTGAAGAGCTGCAGTGATGATTTTTAGTTCATTTACTCTTGGAAGCTGTTTCCTTGCTTGACCTTTCAGCAATCATTTTATCTAATTTCACCAGAGCTGAACAGATTTATGTATATGATCCGCAGTGTGCACTGTGCTCACCTGTATGCTGTAGTGAAGAATGGTGAATGTAGCGAAGCCCTCACAGCCCTGTACCCTGTGTTATAGCCATTGCCACTATTCTCACAACCTAATGTGAGGAACATGAAGCTGATGTCCCCACACTCTCTCTGGAGATGGGTCCTCTAGAGGATGGCTCACAGCACCTACATTACTTTGAACTGACCCCCAGAGGTGCATGTCTGTTTGCTGACTGCAGAGAGAGAGAGAGCCAGGAAGAAGAGCAGCACCAGCTACTGCAGATTCTGCTGCTTCCTATTCCCCCATCTTCTATTTCCATGCTCCAAGGGCAGAGGTACATTCTCTCTCAACTGTCAGAAGAGGAGAATGAAAGAGGCAACGTTCACCTCCGCAAAGCAAGCCGCAGGCACAGAAACAGGAAAAACAGAAGCTTGCGGCTGTTCCTCTGCACCAAGCCTTACTCCAGCAAAAGCTGTCCTGCTCATAGCTGTCCTGACAATGCCCCCTTCTCTAGAGCCCTGGGAGGAAGGACTGGACTTACTGGTGTTCTTTCCTGTGAGAGAAGTGATGCTCAGCCGCCGAGCTGTGGTAGGAGACTTCTGCTGGGGTGGAGTACGGCACTGCTTTCCCAGCTCTTCATCAGATGTGGAGGACACCAGTTCTCCAATAAGGATTCGCTCCAAGCTGCCGTCATCAACTCCCTTTCCCAACCATCGCCCACAGGGAAACCTACCCAAGGGCCAGCAGAAACACGGGTCAGTCACATGGGTAGATAGCTTTATCTCAAAGCCAGAGGGACAGTGAGCCTCCATCTACACCGCTAGCAGGCACAAAAGAGCTCTTCACAAACCAGAGCTCAGCAGGCAGTATTCCACTGCACCGCAACTGAAAAGACCAAACCAGAGAACTACATTTGCCTTCCCTTAAGGAAGGGGAAACATGAAAAGCTAGCATGAAAGCACTGGCAAACATGAAATGCTATACACTTATTTAATGGGACACATGTAGCTCTCTGCTGGGTTGTTTTTCAGTTGCAGCCACACGGCAGTCCCAGTGAAGTCTACACACACATCTATGCTACCATTGCTTGTAGCTGTGTCCTCCCTCTTTCCCCCATACTCTGCCCCCAACTCTAAGCTCTGGAGCTCACCCTTCTGAGGGATAATTTTCCAAGTTCAATTTAGTCTAATTTCTTTAATTTAGAAAAAGAACTATTTATCCAGACGTTCTGTAAAAACAATGGTGAGTTAGGAGATAACGTAATGTATTTGAATGCAACAAAACAAAACAAAAAAATCCCAGCCCCAAAAGCCTAAAGATTTGCCCTAAACTATCATTCCAGCTCTTGGAATGTAAAGATGTGCACAGTGTTACCATCCTACATTAAATCAAGAGATTTAATTATTAGATGTAAACATATGAATCACTTCAAAAGCATCCATACCGTCTCTCCTATCTCAGAGAGATGTAAGGAAAATCCTGCACTCAAGCCTCATTTAATATTTATCAGATTATTTGGCTTCAACTAGAGCTTCTGAAATGAGAGTCGTGGGTGGGGAGACCAACCCAGCTCTATCAGGTACTTAAATCAGCCCATGCTGCTCCACCATAGTTTTGCCCAACTGAAAAGACGAATGCGTTCTTGCTTTTTCTAGACTGATAGTAGGAATTTCAGACAAAGAAAATTAGAACTAGTTGCTTACTTGTATGTGTGTCCTGTTATTTCGTTTCTGACCATGACACAATCAACCAGCCACTTGGCCAGCAGCCCTGAGTTGTCATGACCAATCTGAACAGTCGTCAGCTTTCCTAAATTCTGGCACTGAAATAAATAACAGTTTTTACTTCATTTAAAAAAAAAAAAAACAACAAAACAAAACAGACCACCCCCTCCACCACCACATGCACACATATGGTCCCAAATGTATGCTTTTCTTCAATTTCCACTGATTTACACAGCAAGCATTTTCAACCAAACAGGCAGAACATTTTGAAAAGCAGAATAATCTGTTTTATTATAAGACAGGAGAAAATAAATACTGTGAAATAAGAACTGTTAAAGGGTTATGAAGAGACTACATTCTTTATTGTGAGAACTCACTGAGTAATTCTGAGAAGTGTTAATTACAAACATCTGAGCTAAATTGATACAAAGGTGTGCTTTAGTGGAAGAAATAGACCTTCAGAAGAAACAGCCTCTCAAAGCTGCATTTTGAGCATACTGACCTTTGTTTGAAAGGAACCACCCCACACTCCAACACAGTCTCTAAATCCTTCCTTATTTTCAAAAATCAGCTTGCTCATTGCTGAGCAAGACAAAAATAATCCTCATGAGGCAGAAGGAGAAAAAAAGGACTGTGAATTCCAGCGCAGTATGTAATTGTAGGTGGGGCTGCCTGCAACGTCTGTTAACCTTAGTTACCTAAACACTTCCCTTACAAGACCTTGGTTTTTTTTGTTACTGCCAAACAAGCAGCTTGGGCTGATGTTTTCCATAGCATGTTGCTACGCAAGTTGCTATTTCTTACAAAAACTTCAGCCAAAAGAGTATTCTTTTGAAGAGTGTTAGTATAGCCCGTCATTCTGCTTGTTACAAATGTGGAGATAGTGCTTCAATAAGTCAGGCACTATACCAGGAAAATAACTGTGTTAAAATTCACTTTTTATTTCAGTAAGAGTTTTTTGTTTGCATGTTTTTGTGTTTGTTTTGTTTTTTTGTTTTTTTTTTTACTATTGTTGCTTAAGATCAGTCTGCACATGCTCAAAGGATGCAACTTTAGCAGATTTTCCTACATAATCACTGCTTACTGGATATGGTACAGCCTGGAGCTACAGGTGCCTGACTGAGCTTTTCCTGCAGCCAGAAGCTGCTTTGGGGTGGCACCAAGCCAACCTATACTACCTGGTGTGTGAGAAGGCAGAAGGAAGCACAGGCAAGTCCAATGCAAAGAAGTAAACATATTAAGCACTGAGAAAAGAGCCCAGGGAGAATGGCAGCTCTACAGTTTGGTTGTGATAGTACCTGAAGCTGGGAAATTGAAGGGCACAGTTGTCAGACTGCCTGGTTGGAAGGGATGTAGCACTGTTAGACAAGGAGTTGCAGCAGAAGGAGTGGAAATTTGGGACTAGCCAGAGGCTGGGAGGGACCAGGGTGGTGTTAAGTAGGAAGACAGATTGAAAGAAAGAAACTGGAAGGGAAATGAGAAGTTGTAAGCGAGCCAGGTAAAGGAAAATTTGGATACCTGGCAAAACTTGGAAGGGAACGAGATATGGCAACAGAGTGACAGGGTGAGGAGTGGAGCTCTGGGCTGGGACAGGGGCTGCAGCTCAGCCTGTGATTAAAAGGCAGTATTTGTTGAGGGGAACTTTCACTGAGCACAGTGTGGGTGAGGAGCACACCGTGCTCCCCATTTTGAGTTTCCAGCTACCTCGAGAACCTGGACAGAATCTGAAATGTTCTGCTCTCAAGACAATAAATCCTCAGCAAGCTAATGTCTGTGTGGAAGTGTGTTTGAAAGCAAAAGGGAAAGGGAGCGCACTCACCTCAAATGTCATTTCTAAGAGGTTTTTAGGAATCTGCATGACGCCCGTGTCTCCTAGCTCTCCCGAAACACAAATCCACGGGTTGGATGTGGTTATTGCATTGCTCAGTTTTTTGATGGGGATTATCACCGCCCTGTAAGGGATCACTGCGAACAGAGAGGAAGGAAACATCAGTGTTGGCTCTTCCTCCCCCCGTGGTAAATGCGACCCATGGAGCAAAGCGTGCCCTTCTCTTGAAGGTCAGCTCCCGCCTCACGTCCCAGCAGTGCCGGGGCCGGCTGGTGCCGCGCGGGGGTGCTGGAGGGCCGCGCTGAGCCGCCAGCCCGAGGCGGGTGTGAGGCCTCACATCCAATGTCTGCTCTCGTTCTTAGAGGAAAGAAGGGAGGGGGAATCTTCGAGCGTTTAAGGAGAGAGGGAGAGGTTTATGCCATACGGCGGAGCACAAAGCGCCTCGCGGCTCCTCCTCCGAAACCCGTCTCTGTCAGCCTGCGGAGAGTGCTGGGTGTGCTTTTAGGGAATGGCAGAGGGAAGCATTAGGATGGAGAGGGCTTGCCGGGGAGGCAAGATTAAAGAGACTACACAATGCAGGAGAAGAAAACCAGGTGCTGCAGCACAATTTGCTGATTACCCTCCTTTGTGAGGATGCTCTTATCCTGCACACTCCCACACAGCCTTGCTCTCCAGCTGGTTTCCCACAGCAACACCCAGCATCTATGAGCTGGCAGCAACAGCCAAGGGCTCCAGATAAGGGCTCAATTCCTCATACAGTGGCAACAGCAACGCAGAGTCACAGAACGGTTTGGGTTGGAAGGGACCTCAAAGCCCACCCAGCTCCAACCCCCTGCCATGGGCAGGGCTGCCACCCAGCAGCTCAGGCTGCCCAGGGCCCCATCCAGCCTGGCCCTGAGTGCCTCCAGGGATGGGGCACCACAGCTTCTCTGGGCAGCTGTGCCACCACCTCACTGCCCTCTGGGTAAAGAATTTCTTCCTGACCTCTAAACTAAATCTCCCCTCTTAATTTAAAACCATTCCCCCTTGTCCTGTCACTGTCAGACTGTGTAACAAGTCAGCCCCCTCCTGCTTACAAACTCCCTTCAAGTATTGGAAGACCGCAGTAAGGTCTCCTCTCACAAATCTCAACAGCAAGAAATTTTTATTCAGGGGTAAAATAATTCATTCTCCAACTCACCAATTGTGGTGAAGACGCTTGTGAAGCAAAAGTAATCCACAGCATTGAGTGAGAGGAGGTGATACAGAAACTGCTCCCGTTCTTCCTCGCAGCGCAGGAAAGCATAACGCTTGTAAAGTTTCCTGGTGAAAAAAAAAAATGCATTGCTGTTTTGTTGAAAAAGTATCAAAGGAGGAGTTGATCTACACAGCAGGTGAGAAAAGTGAGATTCTCCAGTTCATGCCAGTTGCCAGAAAACCACAGAGATCACTCACCCTCTGTGCTACATGTGTTTTCAGACCATGGTGATTCCCATGGTGCTGTAGCAGAGATACAGAGCTCATCTCATTGAAGGGTCAGTTTTGGTTTTGCTGCAAAGTGCAGATGTAAACTAGTGCTGCCCACAACCTGAGCCTAGACACAGCAGCCCCATTTAAGGCTCTTTAAGCTTTCCCACAATTATCTTCCATGGGATGTATCTTCCCAGAACTGAATAGCTATGTTTAATAACTTAATCTTCCTTCTGCTTCATACTCCAACAGATAAAACCAAACAGAAAGCACCAGACCATCTAGAGCGAAGCAGCAACCTTGCTGCCACCCTTCCAGGTCTGCAACTCAGCGCACAACACTGGTTGCCCATAGCAGTGCAAAAGCCTTCCAGTAATTAACCTGGTCCAGCTCAAATGAGGCATGCGGCTCATCTTTAGCTGTTCACTCTTTGGCAGATTGCAGTATTTGTTAGCTTCCAGCATAATAAAGCATGCAACTCATCACAGCACCAGTTCTGCTAAGAACTGCATGCAGTAGGTTGGACATTTTCCTTACATACGTTGTTTTTTTTTTTTTTAATAGATTGCTTTGAGAAAACAAAGTCAGGAAGCAGACAGTGCCTGTGCTTGCAAAAGGAGACAGAGCTGGGAGTGCTGTGTGGCTGGGAGGGCTGGCCTCCCGCCCAGTCCTGCTGCAGTTGGGATGTGTGCCTGCTGAAGTCGTAACACAGCACTGCTGTAAAAAAAAAGGCTGCAGCTTCACTTGCTCTAGATTGTAGGAATGTAAGGCTCTGAAGTGGCTTGGTTCAATGCACTGACCCTAAATCAAACCTCTTTCTCCTGAACATTAGTCTACTACACAGAGAAGTGGACTCTTGCCCTGCTGGGGGGGGGGCAGAACCTCCTCCACAGCCTTTCAGTCCCTTCTGTCTGGAAACCAGCAAATCCAGACAAGGCACAAGGCTGTGCAGTGAGCCTGCATGGTCCCTCAGCTCACCAGTGAGGAAGATGTGGAAAGAAAGTTGGGAGAATAAGAGCCAACTTACTTGGCAAGTGGCTGGTTGGAAAGCAGCTGCTTCAGATGCTGAGACAAAAGCTTCTTCTCCAGAGAAAGCCTTATCCAGGCTCGGGCTCGCCCCACATCAGTCTTTATCTCACTCATGTTCTGAACATGTCTGAAATGGATGGGAAAATAAATAATAATGAATAATATAGTAATAATAATAATAACAATAATAATAGATGAATCATAAAAACCCTACATGTTTCAAGTAGTAGCATCCAGTGTGACGCAGCAGCTGGACTGGAATATGTTTCTTGATTTAAATGCTGCAGGACAAACAGAACCAAATCCCATCCAATCCCTGCATGTGACAAGTACAGCAGAAGGTTGTGCAGTACAAAAACTTATATGAAAATCATTTATAGAGGAGCGGTCCTGCACTGAGACCCCCAACAGACCTTGGCTGGCCTGGGAACAACAGCAGGACCTCCTGCACACAAGTTCATTGCTAGTGCCCACTCTGTGTCCCAATGCCTGCTTAGCTCAGATGAGCAGGGGTAGAGCTGCACATCCCTGCACTGCCTGCGCTGTCTCTGCAGACGCTGCTCCCAATTTAAAAAGGAAAGAAAAATCCAACTCAAAACAAACAACCGTCATCCACCTCTGAGACCCATTTATGCTACAGTAGGTACTGACACAAACGGGTATGTTGTCTGTGAGGGCAGAGGACAATAATATCTTAGAGATCCTTCAAACCACAGCCTAGTCTGAAGGCTCTAACAAACCAAATGGGAAATTCAAGGAAACAGAAGGTTATTAGAGAAAACCCGTCACAGGCAGAATCACCTTTTCAGGGACATACAAGGCCCTCATGTTGTGATCTGCATGCCACATGCTTGGTTTGTAGCAAAGCAGAACTGTGCCACTGGGGCTTTTTTTCTATAGATTTGCTTTTCTTTTTTGAAACATCCCATATTTCAGGTTGGAGAATGCCAGAAACTCCGATTTGAGAACACAAGAAGAGGAAGAGAACTTCATGGCAGATTGAAGCTGCTTCCAAAACCCCCCCGCTTAGTTAAATAAATAGAAAGAAAAATGAGTAACAGTTCCCAACAGGGGAAAGAAAGGGTTGCAATTTCTTAATTTACACACAGCTTGCATGGTAAGTGCAATTCAGCCCTCCCAGTCTTTGGTGCCACGCTCCACGTACCATCAGCTGAATCTTTGTTGCCATTGTCCTTTATTGCCCCCCGTGCATTGCTGAGTGTTAGGAAATGTGGCAATATTTACTCCAAAGAAAATCTAACAAAATCATGATGTGACTGATGCTTTCAGTGTTCACTAGTCTAGTCTCACTGTCTTGTGTTTTTTTTCCCATCTGTTTTCTCTCTGCTTTATATTTAGACTCTGCATTATTGGAGAAAACCACTCCCTTGTTTATAGAGCTTCTAATGTGACAGGAATAGGGCTTTAGTAGCAAATCTGCAGTGTTACAACTTAGTGCTGTCCATAAATGCATGTTTGCTCTGAACAAGTGAGGTGGATACCAGGCATAGCTCAGCAGCGCCCAGTGCTGTTCCCTGCTAGGCTAACCTACCTGAATTCTCAAAACAGATCAGCACTGGCAATCCCTGAGGAGGTGTCTGCATCATGCTGCTCTGTGCTCTATGCACACTTCAGGAATATGTGGTTGATAAGAGCAATGGGAGCTTGCTGGTGGTAAAACCTAGGTTAGAGGGCACAGCATGCTCATATAAGTCCTTGTCCTTTGTAAGCAAGCTCACGAGCCTCCCTCTTTCAGCAGTGATGCCTCATAGCTGAATCACTGCAGAGATCCTTGCTCCTGGCTCTGGAAAGCCCTCTGTGACAGCCTCTTCTTGGCTCGGAGCGGGGCAGCCAGTGTTAGAGCTGGCAGCCCACACAGCTGGGCACATCAGAGACAGGACATGCACTCCACTCAGCTACACAGCACTGTGATGCTCTCTTCAGACATTTCTTGTCTTCTGAGATGGGAAGATCAAAGCACAGACCATCTCTCCCCCCTCTTCTGCTTGGCTTAAATTACATCTAATATGAAATGCTAATTTATTTTACTTTGAGTAGATTCAAATACAGATGGACTTAACCTTATTCCATGCATGCTCTATGTCTCTTCATTACTTGTTTCTGGTTGAGACCAGATTGGCATAAACTGTGCATTTGGGAAAAAAATGCAGGTTGGCAGAAACCTTAAAAAGATTCAGTGATCAGTCTTGGTGTCAGCAGAAGCAGAGTGTAACAGAACAGAACATTCAGGAGCTCAGATTTATTTCATTCTCACTGGTGAGAGTCAGAACAGCTCTATTTTTATGAGTGACCTCAGTGTAAGCCCTGTATGCTCACCACTGCACAAATTCTTCTTGTCAGAGAACTGAAAAGCAATTTCAGTGCAACTCCCCAGGTTGAAACTTGGTTTTTAATCCCATTAGCAACACAGAAAAATCTCTTTTCCCTGCCAAATGTAAGCCTGGGGTACAGTGAGACAAACTCTCTGCAAATAGCTGTGCTGCCAGAAGAGGTTACAGCTGCTCAGCATCACCATGCCACTGAGGATGGCACGATGCTCCTGATTCTCCTGCAGTCAGAAATGAGCTGTATTAGCTGGTGCCACGAAGGTCTTTGACAGTGCAGGCTGTTGTGGCTGCAGCAGGTCACACAGCATCTCTGTGTGTGCAGTGCACCCTTGGCTGGATACTCCCCAAGGAGGGGAGGCACGGCAAGACCTCAGCACTGCTCACAGGGAACAACCTGGCTGATATAAACAGAGCCTAGCTGGGCCAAAAGTCTGGGGTCGTGCAAGAGGCAAAATAAATGTCTTGAGCATTTTCTGCACCGCATCTGAGATGGATGGTTTTGCGAGGGAGGCAGAGGACACACATGGCATTACCTGTAGCACAGCCTCATCATCACACATTCAGAAGTGTGACTGTGATTCAGCCCTGCTATTTAAGTTGTTTACACGACCTTGCATGAGCCATCAAAAACAAGCTGTGCTTAAGGCAACGCAAATCCTCTAGCCATCCGTTCAGTTAGCACTGCAGCTCCAGAAATTTAACAATTACCCAGCCTTCTAACTTCAGCATAAACCAATGTGTGCAAAGAAATTTCTTTCCAAGCAGGAGAAATCATGCATGAGATTCTGCGTGACAAATTCAACTCACCACCTATCTAGCATTCTGTATGACCAGATATGTTTGTGTACAAACTCAAATGCTCAAGATACTCAAAACACAGTGCTGGGACTCAAGGAGCAGAGCTCAGGTTTGTGCTGGACTTTCTTCAGTGAGTTCAGCAAGTACGTGGAAGACAAAACACACACACACAGTGAGTGCTGCTGGAAGTGCTTTCTTTTTACATGGAAGAAGGATAAGGCATTACAAGAAACAATGCTCATGTTTCCTCGTGCTTTAAATTGCTAGCAGCTCTTTACAGATGAGCATTATAACACTACTCCTGGTTTCTTTTCTATGGCACTTCTAGCCCACTGAAGCTCTCAGTTGTGGCAAGCGAAGTGTCAGAACAGTGGCATGACCTGGCTCGATCATGGAGATGCCCTCAAGAACAACTGTCTGGTGCTATCACATCAGCCTCCATCCTTCTTACTCTGTAATCCTTCAGGATCTCAAACAATGCTTCACAATAAGCTCTCCACAGCCGGGCTGTTGTCTTCTACAGTGTACCTGCCCTTAGTTCACATTCCAAGCTCACCTGCTATGCTTGTGCACAGTCTAATTTTGTGTATTTATTACTATTTGTCATAAGATGCTATTTGAAAAGAAGGAACATTGCTCAGCAACTGCAAGAGAATTTGTCTGTCCCTTGCATCATCTATCAACTGTACTTGGTTGGTCAATAATTTAAAACAAACAAAAAGAAATAAAGTACTAAAGAATGTAACATATCTGTTATTAGCTGTAGCTCTACTGCTATAAATACCCCTGGAGAAGACAAAACCAGAAGCCCAGGAGAACTTGTGCATTTTTCATTATCTTTTACTCAAAACACACACAAAAGTTTTGTGTATCAAAAAGGTAACTCTACATTTGAATGCAGGCTGAAGAGAATGTTTAGTTCTACTTAACCTTTGTAAAATCAAAGCTAGTGAAGATCTCTACATTATGCTACAGAATTAAAATGATGACAAGATGATCAGACAAATCAAATCGTGTACCTCATATCTTGTATCAGGGAAACCCTCAAAGTAGGCAGAGTAATTCCTGTATCAGACTTCCGTCTTTCTGTTCCAACAGCAACTACAGTGGAGAAAATATGTGAAGTTAATACAAAGTTATTGGAATGGCCTGCAATGCACTTGTTTTATACGAAGCTGAAAGCAATCCTAAGTTGCTGGCAACTGCAATGTCTCTGTGCATTATCATTAACACTATCCTAGAAAAGTATGTAGAAGCAAAGACACTTACTAGCTATTCCTTCCTAACTCCAGCACTGAAGTTGGGGATACAAAAAGCTTCCTTTTACTGTATGTGAAATACATTAACAGAAATCTATACAGTGATGGCTTTTATTAGTAGTATGTTTTAATGGAAAACTCACAACTGAGAAGGATGTGATAAAATTAAGCTACAGTTGCACACTAGATGTTAAGAATGCCATGCATTTCTGTGCTTCACTCCTCTAATCAAACCACTTTGTGGTGAAACATTTTGCTCTCAGGAATTTGTGCCTGCCAGTCAGACTGCTTAGTGCATTACTCACTGAAGCTTATTAAAAACTCTTAGTAAGTGAGACTAGTTTATCCATCGGTGTGTCTTTAAGGACTGATCATAGAAGTTCCCCTCTGCAGGACATGAAGATTTCAGTCCTTGGAAGATGACCCACGAAGTTCAGAGACCTTTACTACAAGGTGCTGCAGCAGACATGGGGCAGGGAGATCTCATGGTCATCAGAAAACCATCTTCTCTCACAACACTGAAGTAATTTGGTGATTGTAAAAGGCCAAAACGAAGCATAAACCGGGTGCCCAGATTAGTGGATGGAGATTAATTACACAGCTTCTGAACTGTACCATCCACTAAAGATATATTGAACATGGAGTTACTCACACTGCGATTTCAGAGACAGATTATTCTCAGTGAAAGAAAAATGTCAGCTGTCTGAGCTGTATCTCCATGGCTTCAGCTATTTCAGTAATAATCTTCTACAAAAGCACCGCTTCTCACATCTCAATGATGGATGATAGGGAGTGGAGGTAGTGAACAGGCATTGAATGATTTTCAGACAGCTATAGTAAGTATCCTCATTTCCCTCCAACAACATCAATCTATTTTGTCCAGACATCAAGACAGCTTCATAATGATTATGAAAGGCCTCAAAATGTAAATTTGGTATTAGCAAGCAAATACACTGAAAATCTCATATGGACTTCGTGTGGTTGCACTCTTCCTCACAGGCCTGAGTTCACTCACTGCGATGAATCCATCAGAGAGTGAATTGCTGGGTACTCACCTGGGGACTCTGCACTATGTTCTTGCTTTTCTTCTCTCTCCTGGTACTGAAGTAAATGGGACCACAAAGCAGATTTCCCCTGAAAATTGAAAATGAAGAGGCTGTAAATAAAATGGCCAGTAGAAAAAGATACCAATGAATGCAACATAATAATGGCATGGCATTTCAGTGGGCTTCAAATTCAGCAGTGACAGTCAGTACATTTCTTTTGGGCCATAAGGCCTCGGGAAGAGAAAGGGATGGTCACTGACTGAGCTGGCAGTCGTATCGCCTACCTTGTTTGTTTGTTCTCTCTTGACTTTAGCTTCTGAAGGTCGAAAGAAAAGAAACCAAACATCTATTTGACAATATCACTGCAATTTCCAGAGCTGTTTTGACAAAATAAAACCTCTCAGGAAACATGAACCAACGAGACTGAGCCCAAAGATATCTTTATGCTGAAATGACCAGCAGCTTAGAAGGTACAGGGGGCATTCAGTATTTGCTAAAGTCTTGTACAAACAGAGTCCTGAGTTTCTAATTACCAACCTGCTTGACCTGCAGACCATGACTCCAGATTCTTTCTAGCAGATCACAGAGACTAGCAATCAATGTATTTTCCTCCAGTCCCGTAATATTGGCTTCTCCATGTCCCAGCTCAACTGCTTCGTGGCCCATTTTCTCTACCAGCATACGTTTAGTCTAAGAAATAAAGAAAATAATAATAATAAAAATCTAAAAGGCTTATAATAATCTTATTTCCAAGAGACAGAATTTATAAATCACTTTATTAAACATTCTTCCAGTAGACAATATAGAGACCACTGCTAATGGCCTGGCTTGAGAAATCTCAAATCTCTTTTACAGAGACTGCAAATTAAAAAAGAATAATTAAAGTAACACATTTGCATTATTAATCCATATTGCCCTGTTTCTATCACCTTTATCTGTTGTCCTATTCCTACATTGCTGATTTATTACTGGCCACTATCAGACAGAGTACAGAGCTATATATTTTCAGTCTTAGTTAGTATCTGCTGTTGTTCTTGTCACGGGAAACAAAGCTTAAAATTCAGGTAATGCATTATACCACCAACTGTGACTGACACAAAGAAATTATATTTCAATGGATATGAAAGCTTCTTTAATATCAGAAGCTGGTATACGACGTTAGCTCTGCATAAATAACATGCACAATTTGCACATACTGAATATATCCCTTTTGACATAGGGTCTCAACCTCATTATGTTTAGGCTACCTTTAAATATGAACAATTAAAGGAAATCCTCCCTAGGATGTCTCATCATCCTGATTCTCCTTCCTGTCCTTTTTACTCTTCCCATCAACTCTGACTGCACAAACAGAAGAGTGATAACACATTTTTTTTCTTTTTTTTTAGCAGATGAAAAATATATAACACAAAGGAATATCCACCTTGTAAACAGCCCGTTAAACCAACAGACCAACACTGTTCCAGCTGTGAAGGACTTTCAGGATACAACCTGCAGATGCTATTTACATTCAGCATGAGCAACTGGATGGGAGAGCGGAGAGAGAGGGGAGGATGTACCTTCATGCGACATTCCTTCAGCAACCCTTCCACAAATTTCGAGTTGGTCTGAGCAATCACAGCCGGAGAGAGGTCCGAGAGTTTGGGCTGCCTCAAATTTTTTCCTAAGCTCCTCGCCTCCTGCATATATTTCTAAAAATAAACAGAATAATTTTAGATATTACAAGTCGGAGAGATTCTCCTCATCCTAATCCTAGGCAAGCAGATGCTGGTGAAAAGGAATGAGCTACTGTTAATCTAGTAACAACAACATGATTTGTCTGATGCTTAAGTATTGGGCTGGAGAAGTGGAATGCTCCTTTATGACAACAGGAAAAGCAAGATATTTTCCAGTGCAGAACTGAAACAACCAGCGTTGTCTGGTGAACTGTGCTGTTAGCCACTAGCACAAAGTTAGGCACACCAAGTGTATAAAAGCGTGACACCTTCATCCAGCAACAAAGCCAAAGTACCAAGCAAAATGTTTTTCCATTGTTATTTGATCTTCACTAATAAATAAATTAAAAGCCATCTGGTTAATTTGTTGACTAGACTGTACATGAATGGAAGAAAACCTTTGAAAAGAAATTACAAGAAGCAGAAAGGAACCTAGTCAAGGAGAAAAATTTATCCCATTACTTTGCATTTGGATAGTTCATGTGGGAAAAATTAGACTTGATTTTATTCTCAATTAACTTCTTAATTACAACTGAAGCTCATTTTAAGTAAAACTGACATTTCGCATCATTCTTGTTTTTACTGTGGGGGCTATAATAGAGAAGTATTGACAAAAAATGTCATGCTCTTTAAAATAAGATCCAAGCTATAATTAAAGACTTTTAAACCTTTTTGCTCCACTGCCTTGTTTCTCTGGAGTTGGGTTTTGTTTGTTTGCTTGTTGAACAAAAAACCCAAGCCCATCAAGAAGTGTCATCTCCCCCTACCATAGTGAGAGGACCACATGCTGAGCAGAGCTAACAAGTTGGCCACATTTAGGTGTGCAAGTGAGAAGTTGATCAAAAGGTCATCTGAACACTATCAATAGTTTCTGTTAATAAAATAACAGGATGTTGTCAAATAAAATAGTCTTGAAACATTGTGCTCAAAGCCTGATGTTGAAATGCTCAATTTTTGTGCAAGGCCTGCGAATTTCCAAACGTATGTCTTTATCACCTTAAAGCTGTCTCTCTGGGGAGACAGTGGGTGACAACAACCATTCATTCTTCCCTCTTCACATCAGTCTTACAGGTTGGACAAGAAAGTAGGGTTCTATCACAGAAGCTGTAATCAACTAATTACTAAGTGCTCAGCTAAGTAATTACAGTTCCACTGATACTGTAAGGACTTGGAAACAGTTGAAAAACCATATTGGAATAAAAATCACAGCTGATGAAAGCACATTGTTCTGCAAGCAATCTCACAAGTGGCTTCCATCTAATTCAATGCAAAAATTAGCAGTGAGAACAGTGAAAAAGTAAGACAGGGAATATGTAAGTAGAAAATCTAGTGTTTCTTTCTAAGAGCAAAGGGATAAATAAAATGCAAAGTGCGGTTATAGTCTGAAGAGTACAAAAAAAAAAGATAACCTCATTTTATTCATAGAATGTCTTGTTGTTAAAAAAATAATAAATAAACTTTCATGAGTTCAACAAAAGAATGAATATGGGATGAGAGGACCAACAGAATGCTCTCTGCCTGTTCAACACACACCACCTCCATGTTGGGATGTGAAGACTTAGCAGTCAAAACAATGCTTTTTGGATTTGACATCCTAAGCTGAATTGCCAGCTGAGCAACACAGGGAAAAAGGAAGCAAAGCAAAATCCCCATCTTTTGGTCTCAGAACTGTCATGTTTGCCAGCGAGTTGGCAAACATGGAAGCCAGGAGCTGTTTTCCAGCTACTTTTCTGATTATAACCACACTTCCAAGCACTACAGGGATGTGATCCTACTCTACAAGAAAGGGAGAGGTTTGGGATGCAGCACAGACAGTGGTTCCTCACGCTACAACCTCAAACGCAGCTTTCAACAAGAAAAACTAAAACGTACCAGGCAGCATTCAGAGAAGGATTTTTTAGGAGGCCGTGCAGGAGGGGGCGGCCCCTGGTCCCACTCCCAGAAGGCCATTGAGTTCTGGCGAAGCAAAAGCTCCTCCGAGGGCTAAGAGGAGACAGATGCCCCGATGGCAGAATAGCCAGAAAGAGAAACAAAGCAAAAGAAGCATGCATATGATCCACAGCCGAAAAGAAGAAAGTAAATACATGACAAAGTACTGAAAAGGCTCTGCTGAGATAAACTCACAAGGCAAAGTTTCAAATATACTTGCAAAGTCATCCTAGCAGAAACGACAACAAACATCCACAAATGCTGTTTTGCTGTGTTTCCTTGAAACACCAAAGGAAGCTGCGATTCAGGAGTCAGTCATTATTGGAGTTTTATAGTGCAAATGCCAACACTGGTCAGCATTATCCAACAAGCCTTACTGCAAAACAGCACGAATGTTATATTTTTGCTAATGACATATGAAAGAAGCACATGTAGTCAGTGGAAAAATATGGCAGAAAATACTTAATGAATGACAGGAAACTGAAAAGATGGGACAGAAATGCATGCATGCAACTGACATTTACAAGATGTGTGGGAGTTCCCGAGCTTCAGGCCCAAAAAGGACCCTGAAGTCTTAACCTTTCCAATAGGCTTGCTCCTGTCAGTAACCTACGTAAAGGCTAAAAAAAAAAACAGAAAAAAACCTTTAAAAAAAAAAAAAAAAAAAAAAAAAAGAGTCCTGCCTCACTGACTGACATTTATTAAGGAACTTGGCTTTTCCAGAGACCTTTACCCTAGGCAGAGCTCACAGCTGCACCGAGAGGCATCAGAGCTCTGCTCTCCATGTGCAGTTATACAACAGGGGTCTATATCAGCAAATAGGCCATTTTCCTGATAACAGAGGGACTGTTTTATTCCAAAAGAACAGAAGCTTATCGTCTGTGCTGTGTGCTTTGAAGTCGTACAGCATATACAAACATTGGCGATGAGCAGTACTTAAATGGCAACAGACCTACACAAACCTTGAGGGAGCAACAATATTGCCTGAAGCAGCAAGGGTCCCTTGGTCCAAACGTTACCTTGGGGTGAACATCTCGTGCCACTTGCAGACACCACCTACCTCCCTCAAGTCATTGTCCAGCCCAATGTGTTCTGAGTGCTGCCGGAGGCGGTCTTTCCTCCGCTGTGTGGTGGCACTGCGACTGGCCCAGCGGCTGGGAAGGCAGAGAGAGAAAAGACATGAGTGGAGTGAGTGGGAAGGGAGGGCCACTTCTCCCACAGGGGGAGAAGAGACGGTGCAAACTTGGATGCTGCGATGGATGTTGGTGCAAGCTGGGCTCTCCAGTTCCTGTGGGAAACCACAGGGTGGATGACGGGCCGCCACTCAACCCAGTGACCTGCTGGAGACCTGCCTGCTGCCTGCTAGCGTGCCGATAGTTGACTGCAAGTGGAGCATTCCCTACCACAGATTCCCCTTGCAGCACTGGTGCCATCACTAGGGAAATCGGTTTAGTCCCCTGCAATGCCCTTATTTGTTGTATTTGCTAAGATTTGACAGAAACTGTGTCTGTATGAGCAAACAAAATACAAATGTTTTGAGTAACAGCTTCTGAAGTGTTTCTTCTCCTGTGAGGTTTCTGTGGTACTTCCTCAGCAGGAAATAATCCAGAGAACCTTGTCACCATGATTGTAAAGATGAGAGGGAATAGCCTCCAAGGAAGGTTCAGGTTGAGTATTAGGAAAAACTTGTCAGAAAGAGTGGTGCAGTGGCACAGGCTGCCCAGGGAGGTGATGGAATCACCTTTCCTAGAGGGGTTCAGTAACAGTGTGGACGTGGTCAGTGGGCATGGTGGGGATGGGCTGATGGTTGGACTAGCTGAGCTTAGAGGTCTTTTCCAACCTTAGCGATTCTATGACTCTGTGATTCCACTATGATACTGGGAGCACCTATGTCTAAAGGATTTAAAGAGAACTGACATTCCTGGGATTAATCATGTTGCTGCCTTTACCATGCCTGGATTTTTTTTTTTTTTAAATGAGATTTTTAAATAGTGCACAAAAATTCTGTTTTTGCTATGTCTTAGTTTATGTCCAATTCAATTTTTTTATTCTCATCTTAAGCTGTTGTTTAAAGCAGATAGTTGGTAACCAGGTTATAAACTGAGCAGCCTTAGAATTCCCAAATGTCCAAGCTTCCTTATGCCAGACAATGTAACAAAAACCAAGATAACACTGTGCCAATGAATTTACAATCTCAAGCGATTGCTGGGTTTCTAAAAATATCATAGCATTCTGTCAAATCCTTGAAACAAAAACGTTCAACTAGTGCAGAAAATAAATAAGTTAATACATTATTTATAGATGAAAACCAAAATAACATGATATAGCCTATCAAGCATTAAAAATTAGCACACACATGCTACATCTTCAGAATAATGACTGTGGTTGCATTTATTAAAATAAAATATATTTTCAAATACAGTGAAAATAGTAACAGCCTTTAAGCCCTTCAGTCTGCTCACAAAGACCCTTTGGCTCTGCCCTGCATTTGGAAGTACCAGAGAGAAAAGCAGCACGTACTCATGGAGCCTCTCCACACAGGTGGATATCTGCAGGAACAGGAGTCACCAGACCCCAAATCCACCCATTTCCATGTGCATCCCAAATATGAGTATATGCAGTAGGATGTGAGACCTGAGCTACCCAGGCAAGGCTTCTGTCTGGCAACAGATATGTGGGTGTAAACCTGGAGGAGGAAGCCCTTGCCTGGAGCTGGTCTTGGGTTGTAACATGGCTGACAAGGCTCTGGAGGCATAGCAGAGCAACCTGGCCCATGGGAAGTCCAGGCTTGACCCCTGGTCATCTGAGCCCTGCTGCTTCCAAACAACAAGGCATGTACCTAACTATCCCCACCGATTGCTCTAGTGAGGCAATCAAAGACCACATTTTGGCTGATTGGGTCAAAAAAGCTTAAAACATAAAATACATAGGAACTGACATTTTTATGGTCGGAAATAAAGTGTCTTCCCACCTTCCAAATACCATCAAGAAAACAAAAACAGAGTAAGAAATAAACATCTGGGTCTGCACGCAATTATGGTTCAGCACTTCACCAACTCATATGACAAGGAATTTATTTTTAGAGCTCTGTAGCCTCAAGTCTCTGGTAACTAAATAGGTGTTTGAACAGGAGACATTTATACCTTCTCAGAGGAATGCATTACCGACATAAGTGTCTTTTCACCTCCTCAGAAATCTTAAAATATGCAGCCTATGATTTTAATTAATCATCACTCTTTTTTTTTTTTTTTGCAAAAGCAACACCCAACACCTTATTAGATGACTGAGAGTGGAAGAAAACTGCTTTTTGTTCATCTCAGCAAGTTGAAATATAACAAAAACTCAACACCTAGAAACAGAGGATAGCAGATGCAGAATTGACTTTGTTTACCTGTCTCTAGACTCCTTCCATTTAATGTTAGTTAATATCATGCTTACATTTCAGATAACAGAATGTCAATAATTGAAATTTATGTTATAAATCATGTACTATCTATTATCACATTTTTCTGCTCTGATTCATATTCTGCATTCTGATTTGATCCCCTTCCAACAGCTTTCCTGCCGTTACTGAAAGATTTAAGAACTGCTATGAGCGTCCTTTGAGGGAACACATCTCACTGAAGGTGAAAGCAGAACAAAACCTACAGAATAATTACAAGTAATAGACCATCATTAAAGCATTTTCAGTTAATTCCTGCCGGCTGGGAGAGTGCACAGAGCATTCTCCAGATTATTAGTCAGAACTGTTTGAACATTTTCAGCATACAAGCGGAAAGATCATTAGCCCTTTATGAAGAAGAGATGGCTACTCATTAGGTGGGGCAATGACACGTATGGCAAGCTGCATGTCCCCGTGTCCCCAAGCACCAGGTGAGGGAAGGAAAGCTACTGGGTACTGAGTAAGGTCTGTGCACCCAGATGCTGCTCTGAATCTCTCCGGGAGATTTGGTGAAGATCTAACAGCAGATAAGCAGCATTAAGCAGCTAAATCTTTTAAAGCCTTTTCTTTACTGGGCCACACAGAATTTTCTGGAAATAATGCTTAAATATCAAAAGAACCACTGGCTCTGCCCCTCATCAGCACAGATCACATGTTAAATTACCCCTCCTCACCCTTCAGCCACTCCAAGTATTTCTGAAAGGAAGCCATCAGCACCTCCTCTAGGGCTGCTGAAATCCCATTTGAGGTATTTCAGTTATTCCCAGCAGCAGAGGTGTTGCTCCAAGCACCAGCTCAGGTACTGTGGTGCATGCTGCCTACATGGAGCAGGGACAGAGAAAGCTCTTTCTGGCAGTCTGTCCTTATCTCCTGATGCCTGTATCCAAAGATAAACACGCTTCACCTTCAGGGACTGTGAAAAGGAGTGCTGTTTCAGAAGAGGGACGTGGGAAGATTGCATGCTGTTTAATACAGAGAAATAAAACAAAAGGCTCTTCAACATGAAGTGTCTTCAATATGAAGGCTGTAAGGTCAACAGTGAAATCAGTATTGTTTGATGCCAAATTAGACCCAACAAGCTTAGGAGCAGGTTTGCAAGGGGTGGAGGATCTGTAAAGATGGCACTTGTAAAACACACCACTTAACCTGTGATGCCTGATTTCTGTAATAAATGGAAATACAGTCAGCATCAAAGTGTAACTGTCAGAAACCAGACTAGCAAAACAGCAGCCTGGACATGCTGAGCTGCAGCCGTGCGTTCATCTCTCCATATCCTGCTATCCCTTACCCCCCTCATTCTAAAGGCTTTCTAGGCACATTATGTGAGAAGTGATAGTGAAGGGTGGCACCCACACCACCATCCTCTGCAAGCAACAGTCAGCTGGGAACAATCAGCTAGGGTCACCCTCAGACCTGATCAGCCACTGCCCAGAATGGATGCTGGCTGCAAACTTGAGACAGCAGCACTGCCCAGGGAAAAGGCACAGTAAAGAGACGAGAGGTACAGGGTTTGGCACACATATTTCCCTGTAAACTTTAAGTCTGCATAGTTGTCATAAAATGGTACATTAACTGAAAGAAATTAATTGTTCTTTTACTGCCTCACACAGGTTGAGCCAAGAATCAGCATGCAGAAAGAGCACCCGTTCAGTTCTAAGTTTCCACAGCACGTAATTCCTATTTCAGAAACTGTTTTTAAGCACAGGTTCTCAAAGCCATTCACAATTTGTTCTCAAAAATGAATACAAGCAGTTAGCAACTCCATTGCACCTGTCGGTGGTTTGCTCCATTAGGTTACTTAATGCATCGTAGCCACTTGTTACAGATATTCGAACTTAAAAGTTGAGCTTCTACTGCTCGCCAGCTTTAAATAACATCAGTGCTGTGTGTGGATGGCTCGGTGCTGACTCATGTCTTACTCATTGAGATGCACTGCAGAGATGCTACTCCCTGCCATTTGAAAGTGCAATTGTCTGGCTTGATTTAAGAAAAATAAAAGCTTCATTAATGACTCCCAGCCTTAAAACAACAGCCAACATGTAGGGAGAAAGAAAAAGCATGTATAATACAGAACACTCACTGCAAGACACACAGATTATTTGTCATACAAAAAATAACTTAGTTAAAGCCTGAATGAATTCTACCATCATATAGATATTTAGCAAAGTTGAATGGTGATGCTGCAGGGCTGCACTCATCTGAGTCACACTATTGCCTGAATCTCAGTAATGGACCTATCAGAAGAGGGGTGGCCAGCAGGGACAGGGAGGTGATCGTCCCTCTCTACTCTGCCCTTGTGGGGCTCATGTGGAGTACTGAGTCCATGTCTGGGACCCCCAATACAGGAAGACAAGGAGCTGTCATAGAGAGTCCAGAGGAGAGCCACAAAATGATCAGGGGACTGGAGCACCTCCCCTGTGAAGGCAGGCTGAGGGAGCTGGGCTTGTTCAGCCTGGAGGAAAGAAGGCTGTGGGGTGACCTCATTGCAGCCTTTCAGTACCTGAAGGGAGCCTACAAACAGGAGGGGAATCAACTCTTTGAAAGGGTAGATAACAGGAGGACAAGGGGAAATGGTTTTAAGTTGAGGGAGGGAAGATTTAGGTTGGATGTCAGGGAAGTTCTTTACAGAGGGAGTGGTGAGGTGCTGGAACAGGCTGCCCAGAGAGGCTGTGGATGCCCCGTCCCTGGAGGTGTTCAAAGCCAGGTTGGATGGGGCCCTGGGCAGCCTGGTCTGGTATTAAATGTGGAGGTTGGTGGCTCTGCCTGCAGTGAGAAGGGTTGGAGCTTCATGATCCTTGAGGTTCCTTCCAACCCAGGCCATTCTGTGATTCTGTGGTATGTGGCTTTTACAGATAAATACTGACACAGCCATGAGTTCAGCAAAACACAGCACAGGGACAAAAACTTGGAGAAAGCAATCATATATTATGAAATCTACGTTATGGATAATATATCACATATGTAATTCCTGAGGTTAGGAGGCCAACTCCAAAGGGATTTCTGCTTGAAGACTTGTGTTGCGCCATCTTTTGAGGGTTGCTGCAGGTAACAAGGGACACAGAGGACAGATAAAAGCACTAAGTTCACAGGATGCTAGAGAACAAAGGGAAAGAACTCAGAAGAGGGATGTGGCCAAGAAAAGGAAAATGCACAGGGCATGGATAAAGAAGTTGGAAAAAATGAGCTAAAATGAAGAGGAAGGCCAAAAAATAAAAAAGATAATTTAAGACATTCTGTAACACTGTAACAAAGAAAAAAAAAAAAAGAAAGAAAGAAGGAAAGAAAAAATAAGAAGTTCAGGAAAAAAATCATTTCAGTTGCTCTCTGTGGGCATTTGCTACAAATTGCCAGAATGCTAATATACTCCCATGTTTGACATGCAATCAGTGTTTTCCTCTGCAATATTTAATCTCATTTATCAAGCTTCTTAGTACAAATTAAGTTACAATGTAATCAATTAGATTGAAAACACAGCTTGCTTCATTGTTCTAATTCTGCACTGTAAGCATATACACCATAATTTAACAATTAGCTAATCAAAAACCATGAAGTGTTTACTCCGCTTGCCTTTTTGTCATTCAAATTCCTTTCCTGAATCGTTGCAAATGTATCAGCCAGTGGAGTACCAGCTCCAATTTTAAAAGCCTGGCAGAAAACACATGCAGGGAAGGAACAGGGGAAAACAGAAACCACAATATTGTGGTGCTGATGCTCAAAAAAGAGAAAGATAGCACTGGAAATGCTGCTCTTTTCTAGGCTAGCAGACAAATTGCCCAAACAATTGCAGCCTGTTTCCTTCCAGGATGCTTTCTAGAACGACTTTGGCAAAAGTTGCTGCTTTAAGAGGCCACAGCATCGTGGATGGGATGTTGCTGAAAGGAAGCTGCAGATGCTGCCTGTAGATTTAGAAAGTTTTCCCATGTAGTGGGGGATGTATCAAAGACAATGGGTGCACAATGAGTCCCCCTAAGCTGGACATTGATACCCGATGTGAAAACCGACTGAGTTCTGTTTTCTGGTTTTTTCATTGTTTGTTTTTTTCCTTAATTGCTGTTGGCTGGGATGATGTGTGGTATCCTTTACCAGTAAATAGCTAAAGATTTCTGAGGAAAGAACTTCTGAAAATACTCATCCGATAAGCTGATTCAGCACCACCCACTGTTAAGTATAGCTGAGACAATAAAGCATAACATCTTTTTGCACCATGGAGTGCTTTCATAGCTTATTTCAGAGTTATATTATGGGGGGTTGTAGTTGGTGTGACACCAATTGTTAGGCTTCAGTGTCGGTATGCAAAGACACTCAAAATGTCTTGCAGGGTGTTTTCACACCATTTGGAATATGGTCAGGAAGAAAAGTCTAGAAAAATATATTTATTTAAACAAATATTTGGATACAATAGTTCCCACCTTTCATGAAAGTTAAGATCTACATATTCTGCAGTTAAAGTCTTTCCATGTTCCATCAGTTCTGATAAAAAAAAGATGGTTAGAAATGGTATTTCTGGGAGCTTGTTCTTCAATTATATGGAGGGCTGCTGGGCCTTTTTTTGCTAATTTTTCATTTCTTTTCAGTAAGAATGAATTTGGAGTTAGTGTCAATGAGATTTCCACTCATCTGAGCAAGACAGTTCCTAACCAGCCAGGGAAAGAGGTACCCAGCATCCCTAATGACACCAAGCAGGCACCTGCCGTCTGAATGAGCTGGCCAGAATGGTAGCTCATGCAACAGGAGCTGCCCTGCCAACCTGCAAGTGAGCAAGAAGATTTGCAAGCTACTTAGGGCTACAGGAGCACAGGTCCACCCCCCATCCAGTCTTCTAAAGGACATCATGGCAGAAGAGGAGGCAATGACAGAAGTGGGGCAAATCACACTGCTGAGCATGGCCACAGGCTGACAGATGAAATGCTATTAGACTTCATTTTATGACAGACCTCAGTGTTTTAACTCTTTTAAATGGTAATGTGACCAATATTTGTTCCCTGCTGCATTTAGGTGGAAGCGATCCAACATGACTGCCAGCCCTCTCTCTGTCCCCAAGCCCTGCTATCCATGGCCTACAAGCAAGAGCCAAACACCTCCTCTTCCAAACAAAGTTTCTGCCTGTCCGAGCAACGGGTTGTCTGGGATCACATACAGGGCCTAGGACTAAAGGCACTAAAAATGTTTGTTCTGTGCATTATATTCCTGACTTACATGTAATATATTACACATATAACAGCACCTCTGTTACAGAGGTACCTTCAGTGCTCTGCCTGGATGCAGGAAGGGAAGAGCTAGATAACATCATGAGCACATACGTTAACTGTAACTGAAGTGCATGGGGATACAGCTGGAATGTTCTCTTCCCCCAAGCCCATACTCAAAGGCTGAGTCCTGTGTGCAAATATGACATATCCCCAAGAAGCACACACTGGGATATTCAAATTAATGGAAGGCTACAGTTCAATTGATTTTGTGGTCAAAAGAATGACGCTGTATTTGCGGAGAGCAGGAAAAGGCCATCTATTTTATCCATGGGTGTAAATTCAGCAGAATTACATGTCTTAAATGAGAGAGAGAGTCCTCTCAGCTGCTCACATAAAATGCCAGGAAGCTGAAAGATATAAACAGATGGTCTTGAGATTTTCCAATTACAAAGCTTTTTGGCAATATATGACTGGAGGAACTCCAAGCATTTGTCACTTTGACATCACTTTGCAGTAAGTAATGGGATTTTGGTATTTACAAATTCTGAAACACGCTGTAATTTGAAGAGCAGAACCTGCTACCTACATCAAAATTACCACTCAAGGAGTTAAACTCCCATTTTAGAGTAGGCACAAATCTAACAGAAGCATCTCAGAAAGTGCGAGAAAGCTGTTTTTAGTTTAATGATTATTCAATGAGAAATTCACTGAGATACTGTGACAGGGCCTGAACATATAAACGACTTTGAGAAGGCTGGGAATGCTCATGCTATCGCTGATACTCTAAAACTGAAACTTAGCATACGGATAAAAGACAGACTGCTAAACACAGCATCTCCCAGAAGCTGAAGATATCTTTGATTTCTCTAAAGAACGTTACCTGTAAACTTCTTTCTTGGTTTGCAATTAGGTTACAAAGAAAGAATCCTTTAATTTTTGTGGGTGTTAACTCGAAAACTAATTGCAATTCTTTAAACATTCAGTGCTCATGGATATCTTAATTTATCATTTGCAAATCTTTTGCATAACAGGCTATTAAAATAGGATTAGCTAGCACTGGGGGGCACAAAAGGTATATAAATAGAACTAAGTGGGCACCTCACAGAGGAGCTTAGAGCAGCATATGCATGCTTTTCTGGAATGAGACAGCTTTCAAAATTTGAACAATCATAATTTTAGGAGCTCTTGGATTTATCTGTGCTCCATCTTGATGTATCAACAAAACTGGAAGCTAGGGCCTGAGCTTGTCATTTTGTAAGTAGTAATCACTGATGCACAAATATTCAAGTTTTGAAGTATGAGGGGAAATAATCTCCCTCCTGGGTTTTGGAGGAAGGAAAAGAAAGTAACATAAAGCACTTACTCTCCATTATATCTATATTAAAGTCATGTTCATTAGTTGCTACAGGTTCTCACTTTACATTAGTCAAATTAACTACATAATGATATGATTGATTCTACAGCTATAGGTATCCCCTACCTTCTGATCAAAGCACAGTACAGAACCTCACTGGATTCAGAAGAGTAACCCAGATGCAGAACCTCATACTCTCCATCCTCACGGAGTTATTTTTTCCAGGTTATTCCAGTCTGGAAACTGAAAGAGCTGTAAAAATCTTTGGGGATATAATAACAGATAAAGGAAAAGAAAGGAACAGAGTGGACACTGCTTTCATTCTGCATGTCAAAATTTCTTTCAGAAACTGAATTATTTATTGGGTTTCCAAATTATCCTATTCAGTGCAAAACAGAAAACTAATTACAAATTTATTATGACAATGATAGAGCTAAGAATATGTATGAGAAGACATGGTGTTTACTACTAAAACAGAAAATAGTACTGAGAGACCAACCAGAATTCGGACTGCTGTCTATTGGTGTGGATCTTTCAGAACAGAAACCCGCTTTCAAATTCAGAAAATAAGAAGCCTGCTTACTTGTTATTGGTAGGTCCCGTTGCTAAGACATCTGATTGCAACTTTGGGAAAAATCCTTGTTCATATTTCCCTTGGCCAATCTTCATATCAAGTAAATGCGGGTGGATGGCCGTGTGATCGATCTTCATCAGCCGCTGCTCAATGGACTGGGCTGCAAGTTACACCCATATGTCAACAATCATGTTATCCAGCTACTACAACAGAAGTAGTCATGCTCTTATCTCGAGTTAAGTCTCTAAGAAGTTAAACACTCGTTTTAGTCCTTGAAATCTGTCGCTTACAAAAGTGTTACTGTGTTATTTGGATTTTAGTTTTCATACTGCATACCAGTGGTGCTGAGACAAACAAGTTAGCTGGTAGAGCTGGGGAATGGGATGTATTATTTGCTGACAAGGGCAGTGCAAGCTTCCCTGTAGCTTGGTGTTTGGCCACACTGCCTCTTTGTGTGGACAGCTGGGACCCGATGGGACAGGAGCAGCTCCCTGTGAAGGCTGGGCACTTCACTTGGCCAGAGGAATGCTTCCTTGGACAGACATGCTGGGGCAATACTGGAATTCAACAAATGTCTGGCACTGAAACTACCCTTCTCCTGAGAGAGGAGGTGCCAGCACTGATGACAAGCCTTCAGAAAGCAGGACAGTTAGCAAGGCCTGAGGGGTGAGCAGGGCAAGGGAGGTGAGCAGACATTTGGACAGGCCAGAGGCTTTGACAAGGGCAGAGAGGGCTCCATGGAAACCCCTCTGAGGCCAGCAGAGTTTGGTCATGATGTGGCCTGAGGGTTTCACCTCAGCTCTCTGGCAGAATGCAAATCCAGCCCATCAGCCTCTCAACATTGTGTCAGATGAGCTTCTAACAGAGTGGGGAGAGGGGGTGAGTGGGGGAGATCAGAGCAGTGAATTAACAACCTCAGTATTCAGCTCTCTCAGCCCATCCGTTAATGGGCAGAGCCATTCTTTCAGCATGTCATGACTGTGAATATAAATGCAGGATGGGGAAGCTAAATCCATTTTCCATTTGTCCAGAACAACAAAGAATTCATTTCCTATTTTATACAATTGTGACTGAGAAGAAACTGTCATAAGATTTACACACATTATCATCAGAAACTCAGGAGCTTTTCTCCTCCTAAGAAAAGTCTCTCTGCATGGTTTTCTTTTGGAGATAACGACTGGATAGTGAGGGACAGAGGGTTTGGGGGGTTTCAAAAACAGTGGGTTAAACAAACGAGTGCTGATGCTGGGCTCATGTGTGCCTGAGTGGTAAATATGAAATAAAGCTGGCATTACTATCAGCTTGCTGCATTTCAAGAGACAGAAAATGAGGCTCCGGTGCCACAATATCTACCAAAACTAGACGCCGAATAGACAGGCAACCTGCAAATTAGAATTGTTTTTAAAGAGAAAGGGTTAATCAGAGATAGGATTTATTTCTGTCACATTTGTAACAGGTAAGATGTTCTTAATAAATCAGAAAATGAACAAAAAAACCCAAAAGAAATGCGCTTGACTCGGTTCATTAATTTGTGCCCCAATGAACTGTAGAGTAAAATTTTTCTGCATTACTTGGAAATTAAATGCTCACACAGTACGAAACTGGAGTATAATTTGAAAAATGTGTCCTGCGAGTATAGCAGCACCCCTACTGCAGGAGCCACCAAATGTGCCATGTACAATTATGTCCCCAACACCTCCTGCTGCTCTAGTCAAATGGCCTAAGCCAAAAATTGTCCTTTTTATGGAAAAGGGGAGATGAGGTGAACGTCTCAAGTGCCAAGGCTTGGTGTGGCTGGCGCTGGTCCCACTTGTGCAGTAAAGGGAAGCCCTGCCATGGACAGACGTGAACTGCCTGGAAGGGGATGAAGTAAGCTTCCTCCTGGGGCTTGGCTGGGATTATTAGATGCACAAGGGGGCTTGAAGGAAAGATGGGGGCTTCTGCTGTCTTGCGTGTGTAAAAGCCCACTGAAGATTTTGCCTAAGGAAATAATGACATTGAGGAGTGCTGCTCAGGTAGTTTGAGCACTCAGATGACTGAGGACCTGTATGTGCTTGTGGCTGACACTGTACTTTTGAATATTTTATTCACCATCTGAACATACCTGCTTCCTTCAGAGTGCTGCACTTCTGATAATTGGATGTCCGCAGTGCAGGGGCCCTTACATTATATAGCCTTATTTTCTCAATTCGAGAGTCAAAAACTCGCAGAAAAGGGTCCTTTTCTTCCCACTGGGAGATTATCTTGTTGTCTATGAAGGTTGCAAACATCTGCGTCTCAATGAAGTGCGATAGGAATGGGAGGTAAGGCTCAGGTTGGTCCGAGAGGAAGGAAGCCTGAAATACAGAGCAGAGCATCAGTGCCACGCTCATGCCATGCCTTGACATGATGAGCTATCCTACAGTGAACTGGTGCAGCAGCCATCAGGGAGGCTTGAGCAAGGCTTCCCCACCACAGAAACACCCCTCAGAGAGGATGGAATCCAGCTACATAAGTGTTTGTCTCATGCATCACCCCTTTGGTCAATACTGTGAGGAAGGGGAGTTTTGGGACAGCTCAAGTGATTGGAATATGGAGCTGCTGAAGGAATACCTGTGCTGCCAGCTTTTTCAAAGAAGTCTGATGGCTACTGCCTACAGGTATGAGCCATAGGCAACCTGTGTGTGCCTCTGGTCTGCACATACCTGCTTGCTCACAGAGGTGCCATGTGTATGTAGAGGTGCTCAGTGCAATTCAGCTCATGTTCTTTTGTGAAATTAAATGGGAGAATTACTCTTGAAATTCCAATTAAAATTGAGCATCTGCCTAAATCTCTGAGTTTTGAAAACTCTCACCTTAAAAGCCCACCTTATTGTACAAGTAATAGCAGAGCCTGTATAAACAAACTCCTGCTTGTGAATGCTACTCTGCTCAACAGCTAAGTACAAACAACACCAAGAAAAGATATGGCAGCTTTTCTTTTTCTTTTTTAAGTGGTCAGAAGTTGACTTAAATCAATATTTAGTCTGTTCCTCACCATTTATCCCTCTGACGTTCTCCTCAGAGTAGGACTTGTATCTATAAAAGCTGATAGCTAAAAGCATTATTTACTTTGAAAAATCATTCAGAAATAATAATTGTGCAAGCTCGCAAAAAATTCTCATTCCTCTTGCTAACCCACAGTCTACTTATTTTCCCATTTCTGATCTCACCTGTTTTTTCACTCTTATGTACACACTATAGTGGAGCCACAACAGTACTCTACTGACATAATAACACAATAACCTTCTGCAGAACTGGACTACATGTTAACCAAAAGCCCTATTGTTTAGGAAACAAGAAACATAGAAAAGTGGATTCCCTATTTGTCTTGTGTGTGTACCTCTCCAATCAACAAAGGAAAAGGAAAAAAAAGTCGCTTTTCCATTGCTGCTGTTCAGAAAACCCACAGGACAGCCCCATCAGCCAGGCAGCAGCAGGGCTGCAACCCACCAGGACAGCTCTGAGTGGCTCAGTGGACCCACACCAATTTACTTTGGCAGACAGCCCTGGTACCGTGTAATCAAAGCAAATGAATCTCTCAAAGAGGCAGACAAAGAAGGGAGGATTAAAGAGCATCTAGGCTACATATACATAATACGGCTATTGTCCCACACCTCCCAAAAGCACTTTCAGGTGTCAAAATAAACACAGAGCAATTTTTACTTTGTCGAAGTTCTGCATTTGTTCCCTGTTGGTCAGCCACGACTCCAGATCGGGGGCAGCCTGGATGACGAATGCCTCGTAGTCTGCAAATAGCTGTGTGAAGCGGTTGGCAAACACCTCACGGAGCTGCACGTTCAGTTTGTAGTCCCTGAGCTCCACTTCCTCACACTGCAACTTTACATCCTTCTCTTTTTCTGCGAGGGGAGCTGTGATGGTCATCTTCTCCATCGTCACGCCTGTCCTCTTGGCGAGAGCTTGCAGGCGGGCGATGGTTTCGTTGCCTTTCAGCAGCTCGTACATGTTGAGGGTGTTGCCAGGGATGTTCCCATTCTTTTTGTCGTTCACCAAGTCACTAAGGACCAGGTTCTTGAGTTTGGTGGCACTGTCACTGCAGTGCAGGTTGCCCTCCGGAGGGATTCCAAACTGAAGGAGGACCTCGGAGATTTCCTGGATAAACTCCAGCTTGTTGGGAAACTGGGGGAATTCCTCTGGCAGCTCGATGAAATGGTTATCGATGTCCACGAAGCACAAGTTTGCCTGAAATATGAAGAAGGGTTTCAAAACAGACATTCAGCACTGAATTTGGTTCTCTAAGTAGCCCTGTTTCCCCAGAATGTGTCCAGACAAAAGGATAACAGCACATATTTGCAAGAGACCTAGTGTGTCTGAAATCACTAAGAGTGACTTCAGTAAGGTTGAGGACCAAGTGGATGAGAGTGATTTAATATTTGAGTAAAGCCTCCTTGGTTCATTCTCCCAGGATTCACAGATCCTAAGCTTCCTATTGCAAAACCTCCACATCCCCTCCCAGCGCAGCGAGGGGTGTAGCAGCAGTTGGGATGCACAGCACCACTTCCCAGCTTGTATAACCACAAGCTGTGTGAATCATGGCATCCCGAGGCTGCATTCATTTTATCCGGAGCTTCTGTAGGAACCTCTGCAGTTACTGAGGAGCAAGGACTTAACTGAGAAAGATGATGATGGAGTGACGATACACAAGAGGGTCCCATGCAAATCCTTAAATCCTTTGGGATCACAGAGTCATAGCATCGTAGAATGGCCTGGGTTGAAAAGAATCTCAAAGATCATCCAGTTTCAATCCCCCTGCTGTGTGCAGGGTCACCAACGACCAGACCAGGCTGCCCAGAGCCACATCCAGCCTGGCCTTGAATGCCTCCAGGGATGGGGCATCCACAACCTCCTTGGGCAACCTGTTCCAGTGTGTCACCACCCTCTGTGTGAAAAAATCATGATAAAGATCATGCCTGACTACACCCCGTTCAAGTGGGACCAAACCCTATTTCCCCACTCCCCCCATCCCTCTGCTTCTAGCTTTTAATCTTGGAAACTGCTCAGCCTGAGATATAAACAGAATGCTCTCAGACAGCTTTTCTGTGCATGGAGATGGATCTCAGCCCATAAGATTAAAGCTAAGTGGAGACATGAATTTAGCAGAGCAGATTCAAGCAGTCGGGGGGAGGGAAGCACCCTACATAAAAATTAATTACATTGCAAGAGCACCCTTAGGAATAATAGAGGGAGGAAAATCTGTAACTGATCTTCTGAACTGTGGCTTACATCCGAAATTCACTGAGTGCACCATGCTGAGTAAAATGTTAAAGCGACTGAGATTCCCAGGGAACTGATCTCTGATGGGCTTCACCCCAGCTGCAGGCACTGGCGGGGCAGCAGGAACAGGTCTGTGTTAGTCTGACTCAGCCACTGGCTCCTCTGGTTTCTGTAAGGCACGTTGCCTGCTCTCTGCTTCTCACAAAACCCTGCAGGATTACCTGCAGATTTTGTGAATGGAAAGGATTTGTTTTCCTCCTTTTCTAAAAAAATTTTCAATAGGGCAATATACTCCACGGCAAACACGGTTATAATGTTCTGCATATTTCAGGGACATGTGTGACATTCATGGCACTTTGCATTAATACTTAAGGGGTATTAGGATTCATTTGGCATAAGTGTCCCCTCAGCTTAGTTTTTCATACAAAATTAGGACTGTACAAAGAATAGCATTCCTTCATACAAAACAATTTGCTTTACTTAACTGCACAGCCATTAAAGAGTTGCGGATGTGTCGCTACTGCTCCTCAGCTCAGGGACTGCCTTCTTATCTACATCAATATTTCATTTCAAAGGCTTTTTAATTTCAGCTCTGCATATCATTTACAAAATTTGAAAAATGAGACACGGATTCAGAAAACCCTTGGGGAATTGGTGTCACTTCTGTCTTCAAAAACATCTGATGATTAAAGTTAATGCAGAGAGATTAGTAACCTTAAGACAGCACGATGGCCAGTTGTTAGAATTTTTATCTCTGACATACAAATGTTTTATATTTAGACCAAGAGCTTGACAAGTCAGCCTCCGGCCTGAAGAATAAAGGAATGCTAAAGCAAACAGTGCTTCATCATGGCTTGTATGTTGAAGGATTATTTTTTAATTGTCTAGAGGAACTTGAGATTCCTTGATTTCCCCAATCAATATGTCTCCTTTTCTTCTCCCACATTTACTGGACCTATGATTTCCATAAATGCTGGACTGTTCTTTTTTACCCAATTATTAAATATTGTCACAGGGTGCTTCTTCACGCCCTGCACTTACTGTTCTCTCACTGGAAATATTCAATTTGTTATTCTGGTGATACTGCAAGCCTATCACATTAAGATTTTAATTTAAGGAAAATGACAGCTTAATCTGCTAACTAAAAGCATATGACTAATAACTTAATACAGTAATTACGTAACATTAACATGTTTTTACTAAAAAGCATAGCTAGATACCAGCTTCATTTCCAAGGCTGTATGAATTTCATAAATCGGGCCACTGCATCGAAGAGGTAAGATCTGATTTGTATTGTTACATGCCACCTAAGATAAGAATCTGTCAACTCCACCCAACACCTGAAATAAACCTTAATTAAAAACCACATTACCTTTGCCCTGTGTTAATCCATCAACTTCCACACATAAGCTCACCCTCTTGCACATACTCCTTTGCTGATGCTCCCACTGCCCGCTCAGTAGGAGTGCCCACTGCAAGCTCCTGCTTCCAGGAGAGGTCTGGGTGCTGCAGTGCTGAAGATGTGAGACGTTGCAGCCATGCAAAATGTTACTCTTAGTGTTCTCACTCATTTTAAGAAGAAACCCAAGTTAAAAGATACAGCTTGCTCAAGAGATGGCCCCTAAAGCAGTCACCATCTGGAAGATGGAACAGGCTAGCAATATCCCAAAGATTTTGCAATGTGGAGAATTATCAGCGGCCAAGTTAAAACAAGAAGCAGTTTTGAACATTGTGGTCAAATTCCATGTAGGAAAATCTCCACTTTACCACCAGTGACCTCAACACAGACAGTCAGAGGACAACCTCTCCTTGCCTTTTTTTTTTTTTCTCTGGGGAAAGAGTGGTAGAGAAGATCTTATTCCAAAAAGCCATTGTTGGAGTGAGCTTCTATGCGGGTTGCAGGCACAATACTATTGCAATTTTGGTTTCCTTAAGGCCAGAAAACTGCTCTGGTAGTAGACCTTGACCCAGTCTGGAATGCGTGGGTTCACATGTGGGTGGGACAAGGCGGTATAATTGCAGGCACAAAGCAGGACATGTTTTTTGAAAGGCTGACAGGGAAAACCTTCACTGCTTCTAGCTATTGCACCTGAGAATCACTTTCATAAAGACCACCTCAAATGAAATGTTCCTTAGCTCTGGGCCAATAGGTCTGTGACACAAAGAAAGAATAACAAAACATGGTCAAGTGAGTGATGTAGGGAAAGTAGAGAAACTTGTCACAGAAAGAAATAGAAGAATTTAGAAGCCATAATTAGCTGCACCTGCTAAATTCAGAAGCACACAAGGGAACAGCATGGAGCTGTGTCAGGAGTGGGGCAGCTGGGTGTTAGGAAAAGTTTCTGCACCAGAGGGTGGTGAGCATGGAACAGGCTGCCCTGTGGGCATGTGGGGGCAGTGGGCATGGCCTCAAGCTGCTGCAGTTCAAGAAACGTTTGGACACTGCTGTCAGACTTAGGGCTTGATTTTGGGTAGTCCCATATGGATCTGGACATGGTGGTTCTTGTGGGTCCCTTCCAACTTGGGAAATTATATGATTCTATGAAGATCTGTGGAGAATTTCTCCCCTCCATTTCTCTCCTGTTGGAAACCAGAGCTTCTATGGAAACAGTCTTCACAGTACCAGAGACGCTTCTTAACACAGGGCCTGGTATTTTCCAGCAGGGATTCAAACAAACACCAGTTACGTACTTGAGCAGCACCCCAAGTGCAAAGACCTACCTCCTGTGGCAGCTCCAGCTTGGAGCGGTCGGTTCCCTCCTTGGATTGCAGCCCCATCAGGTAGGGAACTGGAGCATCCAGAAAATGCAGGAGGGAGGCAGGAAGGATGGGAACATACACGTGCTGCCACTGAAATGGGAACAGCAGCGTCGTGATCCCCTCTGCAACTGTCATCAGGCGCTGGTAATCTGGGTGGGGGGAAAGAGAGAGACACTGGATTACCTTCCTGCCTTCTACTTCTGGAATCTGGTTTACAAGGACAGCAGTGACGATACAGAAACTGTATTTATATATGGTAAGATGATCTTTTGAAAATAAGACGGTACTGAAGTACTTAAAAGCCTAAAGCATTACTTAATTCATCAAAACTCATTACCCTCAGGAAGAAACTGCTGAACATAAATATTCATATCTTATCTAGATCTATTCCATCATTAAATTCATTTCTTAAAAAGATACAAAAAAATCTCTCTAAAGCACAGGTTAATAATATTCTGATTCTATAAAAGTAGTAGATTTTACAAGGAAAAAAGAGAAGAAAGGAAGAGAACTTCAAGGAAACACTGCAGTGAGGTTTTCTCACTTGCTCTTGCCAGCCTGTTTCTGCTACACTCGCTGCTATTTCCAAGGCTGAGTGCATCTTCTGAGAGACTCACCCTGCTTACATTCTAGCAGAAGCTGATGGCCCCAGGTATACAAAAGGACTGTTTTAAAAAAGAAATCCAAAGAGAAGATGAAGGGAAATTCAGTTCTTAACATATTCCATATAGCTAGCACTTTGTATTGTATTGTTTTCCCAAATTTGTATTTAGTAGTTACTGCTTTGTAGTGTCATGGTGCAAATAAACCCACTGTGTGCTATCTTTCAAACTGAAATCTAACTAGGTCCAACTAAGCCACAAGAATATTTTATATTTCAGCTTTTGGATAAGAGCAGATTATTTTTCAAATATTCAGCTGGCAAGATGTAATTCCACTATCTACTTATTAATACAAATGAGAGAACTGAATTGAGAACATAGTGAATTAAATAAACAAACAAACAAATAAGTGAATAAATCACACATCTGTATTAAAGAGATGGCCATCCTTATGGCAAAACTCAGACTGCAAATGAGCCATCCAGAAATAGGTAAAGACACTTGGGTCCATTAAGCTGTTAAAGACTGTGAAACCAACGGATTCCTTCTGCTCTGTGTTACAGTATCTTCTGCATTAACAACTCCCCCTAAATTTTTAAGAGCATAAAAGTACACCTACGTCCTTAGAAGCATTAAATAATCACAAAGAAGCAGCACGTCTCATTTATCACCACTGGCTAAAAGCAGGAACACTGCTCTGTGCTATCACAAAAAGATGGTTGTTCCTATTTTCCTACAGCCCCACTGCCTGCTGTTGTGTGGTTAGGATCCCAGCCTTGCCATTCCTGAACAACCCAGCCTGACTTCCTGGCAGCCATCACTGTCAGCCGAAGTGCTGTTATCTGACCCTGCTCTGCTTTTAGGAGGTTGCTGGGAAGATGCACTTGAATAAATATGTAAATTAAAACAACAGATTGCATAATCCTTTCTCCTTCCTGCTAGCACCTCTCTGCGGAAAACCGGCCTCTATCTGCAGGTCAGCTGGCAGGGCAAAAACATTTTTCATCTTGTCCTGCTAATAGCCAATCATTCAGCCTTCAAAACCATTTTCATACATACAAGTCAGTCTCAAGGTTACACCTCAAAACCACTCCCAGCTGCAGAATGGCCATTTAGGAATCTCTCCCTTTGAAATGGTCTGTAATTATATACCTCTATTGGCGGTCTTGCTGTGGAGCATTTATACTAAATTAACTTACAACACCTGCTGATGTCTCAGGAATGATGATATTTTGTACACATTCCATAACTGAAAGTTGTTAAAACAAAATTAATACAGAAAATAGCATGCCTTAATAGGCACAAGATGATTTTAAGGTCTGCTCAGACCTACGTGGTCAGAAAGGACAGACTTCACAGCAGGGTTGCAAGCATTTTTTTGAATAAGGGCATTCAGCTCTGGAAATTCATGATTTTTTTATTTTTATTTTTTGATGGTACTAACAATATTTATTAAGTTTAGAAGCACGAGTTTGTTTTTTTTTTTTTTAACAGTTTGCTATGAGGAATGTGGGGGATGACCAAATTATTAAGCTAATTGTTAACATGTAGCAGAACTTGTCAATTAAAAGCAATTAGGTATCCAGCAATTTCTACTGAAGAGAAGGAAGTTCAAGTCAGAAAACATTAGACACACTTAAGATTTCCTGCCTTTTTGACTGAGATTCTTGTACCTACAGGCATTTGAGGAAAGCTTGTGTAGGTACTGAAGGCAACCTGGAAACAGAGGGATTAACCCATTTTCCCAAACCAAAGACAGAAAAAGGGTAGCAGAAAAAAGGAAGGAGGGGAAGAATGAAAGTGGGAAAAAAAATCAGATGGTGTGCGTTTGTGTCAAGGTGGGAGGGTCTCTGATCCTATGCCACCGCCACTATCAGATGCCGATAGCAATCTCCAATGCAAGCCAGGCTTTGCCTTCTGATGGATGCATTTCCTCAGGTGTGTAAAACCAATTCCTTCTTCTTCTCTTCCTTACATGCCTGTTTTTCTCTCTCCCTTCGCCGATTATACCTGCTTCCCTCACCCTGCCCTCCTGGGACACTTTATTCAACACATGCAACACTGGCAAGTGCAGTGCTTACGAGTTCTTCACGTTCAGAGCTAAATCTCTCATTTATACAAGAGGATATCTTCCAAGAGAAACTGCTCAAGGAGGATAATCCCAGAGCAAGTGGCCCCTGTGGGTTCTATTACAACCACTGCCTCTCAGCAGCCGCTTAGCAGGATTTGGCACAGGTCTGTCTCTCACACTTAACCTTCCTCCTGTGTGAAGAAGAGGGCAGCGGAGCTGAGTTCAAAGAGCCGGATCCAATGCCTTCTTCTGGCAGCATCTAGTGGGGGCTCTCGGCCAACTCTGCATCTCACTTCCCTGTGAAGGGAAAAAACTGCAGTGCAGACACACTCCAGCACGGCTCAGCAGATCTGCTGCGTGTGTGCCACATTTCAGCATTGTAAAGTTGTGGAAATACTCATGGGGATCACAAGTCACAGTGCAGTGCTTAAGCTTCAAGCCCAGAAAGATTCCAAGGTAATTATGGGTCACCGTTTTGTTTGGAAATGATTTCAGAATTTGAACAAAAACTGACTATAATGTTTGTTTCTGATAGAGGGTTAGGGTTAGGCAAATACTTGGACTTGCTGATTCTTCATAATAATAAGGGCCAACATCCAAGCAGAACGATGTTACAACAGACACTGTGCGTGCAGAACTATCTGTCCCAAAGAACTTACAGTTCAAACACAGGCAGTGGTTGAAAAAACAAACCAGAAGAGATTCCACTCCTTTCATTTTACAGATTGGGGAAACTCTGCAATGCTCAGCAATTCAAAAGCTCAACATAAAAATTGCTTCTCCTGCTGCATAAGAAAGTCTGAAATCTAAAAATCCTTCCCATGCTGCAGCAAAGCACAACAAATATCCTTTGAGAAGGGAAAGAGACATCAGCATCACCCTGCTAAAAACAGCTGAGTCTTCCCTTGTTCAGGTGATTCCTTCAAAACTAGTTAAAATCTTAAGTCATAATCAAACAGAAGAGAATTCCACTGGGGACTTTCTCAACTAACACTTGACCATAGAATTTTTGATACTAAAACACATGCAAGAGCATATGCACACATCCATTCAAATCAGAAACTGCGTTCTTGCTGTCATCAGTACAATGGTACTTTTAGCTCTGTTACATCTGTCTTCCTGACAAAACAACAACACAGCCGTCCTCCAACTACGTTACAGCAACCTGCCAGAAACAGCACAAAGCCTACAGCAGAACTGAAGTCTCAGCCTGGATCTTCTAAATCCATTACAGTGCTTGAAAAATAGGCCATGCCTCCTCTTTTTTTCTCCTTTCACCATTCTGTTTTATATCCAATTTGCAAGTACTTGGAAGTATTTGAAAAGCTGGGCTAGCTGGATGCCACTTCCCTTGCTCTACAGCTTTTTGAACACACAAGTATAACTGCAACTTTGCAAACCCCTGTGTTTGTGTGTATCCTGGAAGACGATTAAACACATCCCCAAAGAGTGCCTTATGGAAAGGAACAAATTACAATGAAGCAACTGTTTAAAACTAAGTTTTAAAAAATAACAGTAAATAAGAGCAGAAGAGGAAAAATAATAGAATCATAGAATGGTTTGGGTTGGAAGGGACCTTTAAGATCATCCAGTTCCAACCCCCCTGCTATAGGCAGGGACACCTCCCTCTAGACCAGGTTGCTCAAAGCCCCATCCAGCCTGGCCTTGAATGCTTCTGGTGGAGGGCATCCACAACCTCTCTGGGCAACCTGTGCCAGTGTCTCACCACCCTCACTGTAAAGAATTTCTTCCTAATATCTAGTCTAAATCTACCCTCTTCCAGTTTAAAACTACCTCCCCTTGTCCTGTTGCTACCTGCTCTTATAAGAAGTCCCTCCCCAGGTTTCCCGTAGGCTCCTTCAGGTACTGGAAGACCACTGTAAGGTGTCCCTGGAGCCTTCTCTTCTCCAGGCTGAAGAGCCCAGCTCTCTCAGCCTGTCCTCGTAGGGGAGGTGTTTCAGTCCTCTGATAATTTTCATGACCCTCCTCTGGACACAATCCAAGAACATGATGTCCTTCTTGTGTTGGGGGTCCCAGAATTGGGTGTAGTATTCTAGATGGGGTCTCATGAGACCACAGGAGAGAGACAGAATCACCTCCCTCAACCCACTGGCCACAATTCTCTTGCTACAACCCAGGATACAATTGGCCTTCTGAGCAAAATGAGCTTCTGTGGGCTCATTTTGAATTTGTCATCAACCAACATTCCTAAATCCTTTTCTTAAGGACTGCTCTCATGTCATTTTCTACCCAGCCTGTATCTGTGCTTGGGATTGCCCTGACCCAGATGTAGGACCTTGCACTTGGCCTTGTTGAACTTCATGAATTTGGCATGGGCACACCTCAGGTTCCTCTTGTTAGCATCCCTTCCCTCTAGCGTGTCAACTGCACTACTCAGCTTGGTGTTATCTGCAAACTTGCTGAGGGTGCACTCGATCCCACTGTCCATGTTGCCTAGAAAGATGCTAAAAAACAC